TATCATCTCCCAGAAAGCTTTTATGTGCAGTCCTTTAACTCTTATCCCACAATCCTATTGGGGCCCTTTCAACAACTGCCTTGATTTCATTCAGGCTTCCACAACCTGGTGACCTTCAGATAGTTTGGGCTAAGACTTCAAACATCCCTGACGACTGGCCATTCTGTCTGAAACTGATGGAAGTTATAGTCTAGCAGGTTACTGAGGACAACCAGGGCTGCCAAAGTCGGGTACGGAGCCAGGAGGGAAACCAGACTCCAAGCTTTCTTTAGGTATCTACACCTCTTGGAGAAGTCTGATTTTATGGAATTCCCTCTCCAGTAACATTCATATATGCCTTGTTCTGTGAGATAAAGACTATGATCCTAGATAGTGACTGATCCTAGGATTTGGTCCCATTGAATTCAGTGGACATGCCACCATATGGATTTGTATATAATCAAGCTGTTAGAAAAAAGTCAGAACCTTCATTTTGAAATTGTTTAACTTATTACTAGAATTAATTTCCCTTTTAAGGAAAAGACGGTATTACTTGTAAGTTTTGTTTACTTGTTACCATTTTGGTAATAAAAACAGTACAGTTGTACCTTGGATCCTAAACACCTTGAAACTTGAATGTTTTGGCTCCCAAACTCTGCAACCCTGGAAGTGATTGTTCCAGTTTGCAAACGTTCTTTTGGAACCCAAACATCTGACGGGGCTTCCTGAAGCCAATCAGAAGCTGCAATTTGGTTTTCAAACGTTTTGGAAGTTGAACAGACTTCTGGAACTGATTCCGTTCAACTTCCAAGGTATGACTGTATATAAATAAAGAATTAACAGAATCAACAACCTGAACCTGTTTGCTCAGAACTACATTTCATTTATTTCAGGGGGACTTATTTCCAGATAAAGTATCTCACAGTGGCATACTATACTTGTCTACTACCTAGAAGTAAACAGCATAGATTTTCTAGGGCTTACTTCCAGCTAACTGAGTATAGGATTGCAGTCAAAAAGATGTACAGGAGGGAGAGCTGTTGCTTTAGTGACTGACTGATGAGACAATGTTTATGGGAAGATATTTTATGGAGATTTTTACTAGCCATTTCCTACAAAAAAAAATCACTTTATGTTACTTGTCATTAGACTCATAAAAGTAAATAATAAAAGAGTAGAAATAAAATATTCTTCCGGGAAGAGTTCAAGTAGGTCCTCCGAGAATCATAAAAAAACTTTCTCTTTTCTTAAAGTGCAGAACATTATATTAGAGATTCAGCAATGGGGGTATTTTGAAAAGACAGAAAGAAGAGGTTATAACTGCTATACAAGTAAAGCTGCAGTCCTATGACCCCTTTGAGTAAAGTAAGAATTTACTCCTATACTGTATCTCTGGTCCATGCCCAGGAGAGGGAACACCTTTAAATAAACATGGAACCTAGGAAATAAATCAAGTCCAGGAGGGACCTAGCTTTATTAAACTAATGTGCAATAGGACAGAGCCCAACTTAATGTGGTTGCTGTGGCCAAATAAGCAGTCAAGGAAAGGTCTGCCACAAGACACATCAGAACAGAACAGAATAGGGATGCAGGTGGCGTTGTGGTCTAAAATGTTGAGCCTCTTGGACTTGCTGATTGGAAGGTCAGCAGTTTGAATCCCCACAACGGGGTGAGCTCCCATTCTGCTGTCCCAGCTTCTGCCAACCTAGCAGTTCAAAAGCACACCAGCACAAGTAGATAAATAGGTACCACTGTGGTGGGAAGGTAAACAGCATTTCCATGAACTCTGGCTTCTGTCACAATTTTCTATTACACCAGAAGTGGTTTAGTCATGCTGGCCACATGACTCAGAAAGCTGTCTGCAGACAAACGCCTGCTCCCTCGGCCTGAAGCGAGAAGAGCGCTGCACCCCATAGTCAAGTTTGACTGGACTTAACCATCCAGGGGTCCATTACCATTACGTTTTACTTCTACACAGCACACAAAGAATCATAAAACATCGAAACATCCTTCTACGTACATCAAGAATGGTTACAGATCATGGGATATATGCATACATGGCTCCTTACTAGTATCAACTTACTTGGCATGCCTGAAAACATTTGGTGTCAGCTATCACACTTTAACCCCAGTTCTCTTGACAACCAGGCCTTCGATGGGGGCTATTGACATTCTAACCCCATATCTTACTTCCCTTTTCCCAAAACATGTTAAAGAGCTTTGAGGAGAAATACTGGATTAACACCCCGGTTCTAACTCAAAACAGACACAGCAAAACATCCTGGTTGGCCATGTCATTTGTGTCTCTCTGAGGTCAGATAAGGAGAGATGGAAAGCAACATTGGAGGGAGGCATGAGAGTCACAAAATGCAGACCCACAAAAATCAAGGCTAATACGCTGTATTTAAAAGGTTAAATACAATTACAGTGGTACCTCGGGTTACAGATGCTTCAGGTTACAGATGCTTCAGGTTACAGACTCCACTAACCCAGAAATAGTACCTCGGGTTAAGAACTTTACCTCAGGATGAGAACAGAAATCATGTGGCGGTGGCAGCGGGAGGCCCCATTAGCTAAAGTGATACCTCAGGTTAAGAATGGTTTCAGGTTAAGAACGGACCTCCAGAACGAATTATGTTCTTAACCTGAGGTACCACTTTAATACTGAAACAGTTATAACAAACAGTAATATATTGCTAAAGTACGAACAAAAGACTGAATTCTCACTCCTTAAATAACTCAATTTATTTTAAGTGGTAGATATAGGATATTTTAAATGCAGGCATTTCCATCAGCTACCATTAGGCTTCAGATGACAGATTTTGATGTACTAGCGAAAGGTAGCAGATATGCAATTTTTCACTTATGGTTATATTTTCACCATCACTGGGGACACCTTTTACACTTTCTGCCTCAAACACCAGCAATGTCTTGCTTCACCTCTGATTTCCTATGAATACAGATCTTTTAGAGTCCCTTTGTTCCTCCTCTACCCTGCTTATTTTTTATTATTTAATGCCCTGTTCTTCAAAGGGTTCTCACAGTGGTTTGCAGACAAAGTTAAAACCCGTGAAGAATAAAACCAATGCCTCAATAAATAAAGCAACAGAGCAAAACAATGCTGCAAGCAGCATACCAAGCTAAACAGGTGAGCCAAAGACATGGATAGCCAAAGAGGCCTGGGACAATGAAAAGATCTTCACCGGAGACACACCATCTGCTGTTGAACTCCAGCTCCCATTTCCAGGCCCAGCCCCTGCGTGCCTCCCACCTTGCTGACTGGGATGGAAATAAAGGACACAACACAATACGAATGGGATAAAATTAGGACACAACTTTATTGACAACAGATGAAGAGGTTTGGCATAGGCAATGGGTAACCATTTACTTCTGGCCCACCTGCCAGAAATGCGTATCCTCCAACATTGCTCCAATGAAAGGAAGGATGTCCTATTCCATACCTTCCAACATTTCTCTGATGAAAATAGGGACATCCTACCATACCCTCCAACATTTTCCCAATAAAAATAGGGACTATCTTAAGGAAAAACTGAACGTTCCAGGATCAAATCTGAAACTGGGACAGCTTCTAAAAATCCAGGACTCCCACATGATGAGCTGTTGCTCATAATGTTTCTCAGGTAATTTTTTAAATTAATTTTTACAAATATCAGTTACATTCAAATATAATCAATTTTTATACATATATAGGATTCCCTGAATTCTTGGACTTCCCTTCGCTCCTCCATGGGTTCCATTGTAAATCTTTTTTCTACTGCATCTTACAATTTTTCTTCAAACTTCCAAAATTCTTGGTTTCTGATCCTCCTGGTCAATTTTGCCATTTCAGCACAGTCCATCACCTTGATAGCTGCTCAGTATGCTTGGTCCTTTCCATACAGCCTTTTTTTTTATGTCTCAGAGTCCTTCTTTTGCCTACGGCGAGTCACCATGGACATGCTTTTTTTCTGCCTGGTTTCTGTTCCGTTATGTGGAGTAATCTTCTCGTTTTAGGGGTGGGAGCTGGTTCTGGCAGACTGTCCACAGACACAGTATCAACTGGCCTCTACTAAACCTGACTCCTGTCCTTGTTCAAGGCTGGGGCTTCTACTTATTCCCTCCTGTTCTTCACTCCTGACTCCCAGCTTCCCTGCTCTCTTTCTCACCTGAGGTGTGTCCTGTTTCCCACCACCATGAACCTGGGTCCAGACTACGTTCTTCTGCATTCTCTCTGGAAGCCTCTTGGCCAGGCGGTTCCCCACTGCTGTTCCTCATCTAGCCAGTCCCTGACAGATGCAGTTTCAGGCAGCCCCATGCTTCCTCCTTGGAAGGGCATTTTAAGGATGGGCATGAAACCTTAATCACATGCCCTTGTCCTCACTTTAATCATACACATTCAGAGGCTTCTTACTTGAAGGGTTATTTTCTATTGCAAGCTTCACAGAACCTTGAAATATATTTCTGTTTCTGGACATTTCATATCACATTTTCTATCCCCCTGTTTTGTCATGTGTGTGTTTTTATTTTATTTCTTTTCCCCAATCAAATCATTTAAACTCAAGGCAAGTTATTTGAGGACATTTTTTAACTCCAGCAGTTGTATTTATAACCTCATCCGTTACAGGCTTTGGTTTTGAAGATGCTGAAAGATGCAGACTTTTGGGGCAAGGTGGGGAATAAATGACTCTATAAACCATGGAGATAATAAAAGGTGTTCCATACAGAAGCAGGTTTCTCATTAAACAGAACCTCACAGGCTGAAATTCTAGAAAATCAGGGAAGTAATCAAGCAGCCACAGAGCAGCCAAGACAACTTTTTACCTACATGCCAGACTGAAATTGTAGGTAATAAACTGTGCAGGTGAAAATTATATTTCCCAGAATAAATTCCTATTAAAAATAGGAGTGCCTTGGCTGAACAAGCAGAAGTAAAAGTGTGGAATTTAATTTAAAACTCCACAATGACATACTTTTTAACTATTATATTTTACCTATTGATTGTGTAGCTTATTTATATGTTCCCTCACACCGATCTTTCCATGTGCCTTTAGAGAAGGCAACTCTGAGTGTACCCAAGAATCAATTGAAGTAGAATTCAATTAATATTATAGTTGTCATCAGGCTGGAGACTCATAGTACATTACCAAGAAGAAGAAAAAGGCATATGTGCCAAGGAAGTAAGCCAAATTCTATATCCTGAAACTTGAATCCTGTAGTCAGAGCTGCATAAAGTTGTTATTTTGCATATTCTAGCATTCTGCAGCTTGTCATAGGGAGGCTCAAGAAACCAGATGGCTTCTGATATTTTTTTCAGTCATTGCCCAAATTTCAAGCAACCCTCTAAAGTTACAGAGGCCAAGTATTCTCTCTGATGTGTTATCATTTCATGCTAAGGAATATTTGATGTTAAGATGCTTTCAAAGACTTGAGCATTCTTAGATGGTGCAGACTTAAAGCAGGAGCTCCTTCTGAACCTGGATTAGGAAAGTAATTGAAATTGAAACTGCTGATACCACAATACAATTTATTACACAGATCTGTGCCATCACCACATTGGAATACTGTGTACGGTTCTGGTTGCCTCACCTCAAAAAAGATTTCACAGCATTTTTTTTTTTCAAAATTTGAAATGTGCCCACTGGTCCAAAATGTCTGTCAACCTCTGCTTTAGTTTAAAGCAGCATTACCCCAATCTGGTGCCCGCCAGCCAGTAGGACTAATAGCCAAGCATGATTAAAGTTATACAAAGGATCTGGAGGAAATCAGTCTGGGGCTGCCTGCCTTAAAGTCTATTCTAGGTAGATTTGTGGAAAGCATGATGAAAGAATTATTTAGCATTTAGAAGGACATAACTTGCATCTGAAAAGCGAAGTCTTGCCTCGACAGGTTTGTGGCATTCTTTGAGCACAGGTGGCTATGTAATATGGTGAACATTATATCATACCCTTCAACATTTCTTCGATGAAAATAGGGATGTCTTATTCTATTATTATTATTATTAGTAGTATTAGTATTAGTATTAGTATTAGTATTAGTATTAGTATTATTTTACTCTGCCCATCTCACTAGGTTGCCGTCACCACTCTGGGTGGCTTCCAACATATATAAAAACATAATAAAACATTAAAAACTTCCCTATATAGGGCTGCCTTCAGATGGCTTGCGAATCAGATAGCTCCATACCCTCCAACATTTATCCGATGAAAATAGGGATGTCCTGAGGAAAAGCAGGATATTTCAGGATCAAATCAGAAACTGGGATAGCATCTGTAAATCCGGGACTGCCCCTGGAAAATAGGGAAACTTGGAGGGTCTGTTATATGCTTGGATTTCCTCAAAATGTTTTGAAGAAGTTGCTCAACAAAACTCCTTCCTGAACTTAGCCATCATGGGACAAAAGGATAGGTTGTTCCCTTTATGCTTTGGTAACCGATTAAACAATAGGAAGCTGAAGACTGGAGTAAACAGGCAGTTGTAGCAATGGGGAGATGTATGAGGGGCGCCTTATAACAGAATCATGACTGATTTAGAGTTGAGGTGACCAATGAAGTAGCCAAGTTTGCAGATGATTCCAAATTATTCTGGATGGTGAAACCAGAGCATATAGTAAACAGCTCCAAAATATATGTCCAAACAGAAGCCAAAAAACAAAACCTTACACACCTCATAAATTATCTTCTTCTCTCTCCACAACAGATGTTGATGATGCTGGGGAGCTTTGACACTTTCACTCACAAGTGAATGTATCAAATTCTTCCAACTCATGTTTTACATTAGTATATGCTCAGCATGACAAACATACCTGGGCAAAATGCACCCGGGGTGTCTGGTGTTTGCGATGAAGAAGCAATTGATGCAGAAAAGGTTCAACAACCCTTCTCTGTCAGCCATTTATTCCTTCCAAATCCCATTCCACCTAGCTGCTTTTTAGATGTCAGACTTAACTCTTCCATCAAAAGTCTAGTTTGGCTTTGCAAAGAGGAATGGTGATATATGGAAATGAATCTTTCACAGATCTGGGGCTTTCTGGTTGGTTGATCTGTGTTGCAATTTTTCAACCTAATATTAATTGTTGCAATTCTCCAATTTAATTCATCCCCTTCCCCGACTATGTATCATACCATACCATAGGTGCCTCTCCTGGATTTCTTTCTATAATAAGTTATTAACTTTCATGAAGCTTTATCAGTTTCAGTTCAGTCTCTGATATAAGACACATTGCCTACTTGCAAACAAAAAATAATAGTTGCGACAAATTTGAGAAAACACAATTCTTTTCAAAGAACCTTTTTCTGAGGATGCTGTATATTCTTATCAAGATCTTAATAATTCATTTTTCTCTCCTTAAAAGTTGCAACTAGCATCCTGTGATTTATAATTCTAGAAAAATATATTAGTTTTAACATTCTAACTATAATGGATTCCTTTAAATGGCTGTGACCTTCAATCTAATCAGGGGCTGGACAGAGGAATGGGAGTGGTGGAGACCACCTCCCCAGACTGACCCTTCCAGGGAGGAGAAAATGGAAGACACCATAGATTAATAAGAGGGGTTTGTGGAAGGCCACAGCTCAGAGGCAAATGAGGGGGAAAGTTGGGAAATCATGGGAGAGGAGGAGCAGGCAGAGCCGGAGCAGCAGCTGGCTGACACGTTGTCACTAGAAAGCATTCCAGACCCTCCATCTCCCAGAGCCTAGGGAACCTTAAAAGTAGGAGAGCAAAGAGCTTGAAGAAAGACGGCACTTACTGGCACCCGTAGAGGAGGTGATGAGGTTGATGAATGAGGAAGTGGGAGAGGTGGGGTATAGAGCGGAGAAAGGAAATGTGGTTGTATGAGTCAGTCCCAAAGTCACACATAAAATTGATTATTTGATGGGTACAGGGTTGTGAATGTATATCTACTGGCCTCAACTTGATGTGGTACAAACTGGCAGACCAGTCTAAAATTTCCCCCAATAGTAAAAGTTAATATATCCTCCAAATGAAACTATTCATCACCTGTTATGGAGTTCCAGCTTGACAATGTTGAGATGCAGTCTGACTGTTGACTGCTTCTGACTTTACCAAGTACAGAGTGGTCCTCTTCATTGCTGCATGCCCTTCAGGATGGTTTTTCATGTTGCTGTCATATGGAGAGAGTGTGTTGAACCTTGAGTTGGATGCAGAAGGAACTAGGGCAGAACAAATCTGGAAGATCTGCAGCAGCATTGTGTCCCAGCTGTAATGCCCAAGTTGTCTTCAACCGCTGCCCTACAAGAAGCATGCTGCAGTATTTAAGTCTGCAAGTTACAGACCATGGATAAGTAAAGGAAGATCTGACCTGTCTAGAAAAGGGCATATGCTCCACATGAACTGAAAATTGGAAAAGGTCAGAAATTCACAAACCTTCCCCCTTCCAGCCCAATAGATCCCTAGTGAATGGCATTGAGGTTGGTGGCGCAGAGATGCCATTGTGGGTAAGGGCTTTCACCAGAAGCTTCTGGATGAATTTCTAACTTCCTCTTTCTCTAACTTCTATGTGAGCTGTGTCTGTACCCTGGGTATTAATACCTCACAGACGTTTGATAGCTGAAAGAAATGGAACCTTGCAAACTTGAAATTATTTAGCTTTGCTGACCAGAGTTCATTTGAGAGGAAGGCTGGGCTAAAAATCTAATGCAATTTTTTAAAAAAATCTTTTTTGCAAAAATCTAAGCTCTAATTGAATTGTCACAGATTTTACTGTTTGCTTGTTTGTGCTATTTCAACCCATCCCCCCCCAAAAAACTCTCCCCCTCTGTACCCATATATATGTATCTGTCAACTGAGGCTAATATTTTGTGTACACAAAGATTCTGGTGCCTAGTCCATGAAAACTGATGACATAATAAAGTTTTTGGTCTTTGGGGTGCTACAGTTCTTAATCACTCTATTATTAGTTTGATGACTGGTAAGCCATTTCTCTGAACTAATGATTTAGATTCATATTTGCCCCATGCCTGTAATCCTCAGTTGGTTTCATGGGTGGGGGAAACTTTCCTTTCCTTTTTGTTTTTGTTTTTCCTTTTTGTTATGATATTAAAATTCTGCTCAAGCTAAAATGTGATTATTGAGTGAATCTGGAAGGTATGTATTGCCAGCGGGAGTAAGTAACACATCTGTCAATATTTTCCATATGGCAGGAATTCAAGAGATACCACATCTTTATTCCTTCGGAAGATGTCTGGCATCCAAAAACCGATGATAGCAGCAACAAAATTATTGAAGCAGAACTGATGTAAACAGTGCCTTTGAAGTGGATCAAAGCCTTACAGCAAGTATTTTCAGAACAATGGTTCCTGAAAATAAAAGATCATTAGCTGTCAGTCTTAATGCTTCAGTTTTGACATCTCAAGAAATGCAGCTGCTTCCTTGGCGAGACTAATATATGAAGTCAGTTCATCTAGCTCATTGCTCTCTTCTGGGGTGAGTACCATCTCTTCAGGGTCTCAGACAGAGGTCTTCCCCAGTCCTGCTCCCTGACATCTTTTAAACTGGAGATGCTCGGAAATGAACTGATTTGCAAAGCGCTTTGCATGGATGCTGATTCTCTTTGTTAACGTGAGATTTCTATACATCTCCACTAGTCTATCTTTGCTGTCTTAGCCTATTTTGCTGGTGTTGGTGTATTGCCAAAATAAACTTGAAATGAGCCTTCCAGCAGAGCCTTGAAGCACATCCTTGAGGCGTGCTTAAAACATCTGCTAGACAATGAGAATTTCCCCCAGCAACAGGTGTCTTAATCCGGGGATGTCTGGTGTGATGCCATTGAGTGTGAGGCAGTCAGTGTTGCTCAGTATGGCTGCTGGAGTATGTGAAAGTCTGTGATCCTGTCTCTGTGGCTGGATGGCTGAAGTGAGCTGTCAGGGACCGTGCTGAGGAGGGCTGCACTGAGGAGGTATGGTGGGAGCCTCCCTCTCCCTCTGATTCTGATCCTGAATCTTCCCAGGAACAGGAGGACAGCATAGATTTGGAAGAGTGGTTTGCAGAGGGGCATAGTTCAGAAGGCAGAAGCTGGGAAATACCAGATGGCGAACAGCTAGGAGAAGAAACACTGGAAGAGAGAGGGTTAACAGATTCACAGTCTCTGGATAGCATCCACCCCCCTTCTCCAAAGTCACAGAGAGCTCTGAAAGTGTCAGAGGGTACAAGCTCAAATTGCAATACGTAGGAATGACGTAGATTAATAGGGGCGGAGGGGGGGAATACCCCTTAATTAGGAGCACGTCCATTTCTAAGAGATGTGTTCTTTGTGATCATTAAAGATTGTAACTGGTAAGACGTCCCTTTCATTTGATCTCTTATCTACTGCCATGGGGGAGGAAGCCGATTCCCCGAATCCTGACAGGAGCAGAGATCTGTATTTAGACGCAAGATTAAATATACTGCCTTCAGCTGTACTTGAGGGTCACTTTCAAAAAAAAAATAATCCGCTGGAAAAACGGTTATGTCCATGTGGCGATGGCAGTTTTGAATCAGTAGCTCATGTGATTCTAACTTGCACTCTTTATAAAGATTGAGTGAGGTTCTTACTCCTCTACTACATACCAGGCCGCTCAACCATTGCCACTGTGTCGTTTCTTCTAGCAGATCAAGATAATCAGGTGACAGCAAAAACTGTAAAAATAAAAATAAAAAAAAATAGCAGGGGCAATTAGAATAAGATCTATTATTTGATTATTGCTGTAAACCTCCAGAATGTATAGTTATAGGTGGTATAGTTAAGTTTTTACCTCTATCTTCAGTGCATATTATTTTATTTTATTGCTATGGCTAGTTGCTGATGCAAATAAAGATTCTGTATCTAGTTCTGTTTCTTATTTAATATGCAGATCAGTAGTGTTATGCAGCCTGTAATGTAAATAATAAAGATTTTAGAGAAGAACTGGATGGATGAAGTGGTTATTCTTGTCACGGGAATTCACCAAGAGAGGGCTGGACTGCTGATGCTGTGAAGACGCAGGAAAAATTTCTGAGTAACTATTAAGACAGAGTAGAGGAACCTTAAGAGTTGGTGCTCATGCACTAACAGGGTGGGTAGAGACTATTGTCTCAAGCCCTGGGAGTAGCTGCAGTTTCCTATGTTTGTCTGCATTGTCGTTACTCTAGTATTTATTTATTTATTTTTTATTCTAACAGCTTCTGGAACTGTTGCAAGATGAACCTCCTGGATGAGATACTAACTAACCTCAGCAATGTCATGGTCCTCCCCACTGCATCCTGCTACATCCTTTCATTGTAGAGAACTAAGGGAAAAAAGCACTCCTAGCAAACATGTGCCATGATGGGGGTCAACTGGGTAGATGGAAAGAAATCTTTTAGGTGGTCCATTTCCAATGGATGTCTCTGCCATAACTGTAAGCAACTTATCCACCTTTCTGGTGAGGTCGAACAGGCTGGAGAAGGCTCTTTGTACTACCACCACCTATAGTTTGAATGCATGGAGAATGACTTTCTGAATCTCAGAGGAGAAAAGGCGAGACCTGAGGCAGTTCTGCTCCTAGTAACTACGTAGCTTAAAACAGAGTGATCATGGTTTAGTGAGTTCATTCACACAATCAGCTTCAGATTCCTAATTCAATATATTTGTTAAATGCTACAAAGTAAATGAATGAGGAATAAAAAGGTAAAGGTAAAGGTACCCCTGCCCGTACGGGCCAGTCGTGTCCGACTCTGGGGTTGCGTGCTCATCTCGCTCTAGAGGCAGTGAGCCGGCGCCGTCCGAAGACACTTCCGGGTCACGTGGCCAGCGTGACGAAGCTACAGCTGGCGAGCCAGCACCAGAGCAGCACACGGAAACACCGTTTACCTTCCCGCTATAAAGCGGTCCCTATTTATCTACTTGCACTTAAGAGTGCTTTCGAACTGCTAGGTGGGCAGGAGCTGGGACCGAACGACGGGAGCTCACCCCGCCGCGGGGATTCGAACCGCCGACCATACGATCGGCAAGTCCTAGGCACTGAGGTTTTACCCACAGCACCACCCGTGTCCCATGAATGAGGAATATCTGATTGCATAAAAAGGTCATTTTCTAACTAGCCTTGCATGAGTACTTTTTTTTTTAAAGTGTGTTAAGTACTTGTATACAAAAAGAGCAAAATCCTTACACAAGACCACTTATGGATGCTGAAGGCACTGTGAAGCAATCTATGTAGCAAGCTGAGGCATATATCATACTAAAACCACCCCATTTTACATTGTGTTCAGGGTCTGGGTCGATTGATGATTGACAAAGGGAAACAGAAATGCACTCAAAATTCTTCAGCTGTGTGTATGTGTACATAAAGACACAATGAGTGTCTCAACATTTGTCATTCCTGTGAATAAGGAAGAATGGTAAATATGGAAGGTTCTTGTATTTCTGTCAGATGGGAGGCAAATATCCTGTTATGTATTGCAAAGGAATTCTTTGGATGTGCCTTGTCCCTTCTACTATAAGACATGGATAGTAAGTATCATGGCTGAGATGCAATGACTGAATTGGGAAGAAAGGAGTGGAGGTTCTGCATTCACTGTACTCACTGAAAACAGTGGGGCACACTTCTGAATAAACATGGAAATGGTTATGCTATAAGAACTTGCACCGATCTACTGATGTAGCCAACTCACTTGCATGCCTTGCACTGGTATGAAGGATATGACTACAGGCTGTCTACATGCAAGGTGTGGAGATTATCACCCTTGGACCAAAAAAAAGGCCATTAAGATTGCTATCCTAAATAAAATTACCAGGGAGCAAGCACAATTGAACACAATGGAACACGCTTCTAATTAAGCATGCATAGGACTGCACAGTTAGGCAGTCTCTTGCTTAAATGCTTTCTCTCAGTTTAAATGAAAGAGCGCCATTTTTGTTAACTACAGTTTTCTATGAGCCATATCGTTCTAAATGTGTTCAAATTACTGATCTGAATACGAGCCAAGTGTGAAAAATTAGAGGACAAGCTCAGTCTGAAACCCACTCTATTTCATGGCATCAATGTATCTTATATGTGCCTTGAGGACTTCCTTTGAAGCATGGAGATCTTTTGAAACTCTCTTACATAAATTAGACGGTCAAGGACATTAATGCCATCCCATCAATGTGTGCCTCAGTCACAAGAGTAGTATAAAATTTTAGCACAGACACTCTGCCCATCACTTTCCAGATCTAGCCTCATTAACCTACGTCTGCCTGAAAAACTGCATATGCAGCTACTATTGTGTATGATTTTCCTGCTCAGATAACACTTCTGGATGAATTGTGTTGACCATCTAAAAGCAGGTACTTCTGAAAATGGGCTTTGACTTGTTTTACTTTTGTTGTTGTTTTTGTTTTTAAAAATCATCTTACTAAACAAAACTAAGCATACAAGTCCATATTTTTGCCCTTTCATTAAACAACAGATCTTCAAATCTTTATTTCCTACACAGTGGATGATCTGTAAGGTCAAATGACTCTCCACCCACTAGGGACTCAGAAAATCTACTGACCGGTTTCTTTATCATTCATTTCTACCTTGCTTCATCAAAAGGTGTTTCCTCCCTTTACTTGGCTGGAGAATTGCATTGCAAAATTTCAAGCAATTTGATATAAACCTGCGCTGGTAAAAATGGGTCGCCTGATGTCATTGTGATATCAAATGATTGACAAGTGGGTGTTGCTGTCAGACTTGGTTTGCTGGAGATGGAGGAGATAATGATCTAGCCTGCCAGCTTGGTCCAGTTTCCCACCTCTGACTTCACACACACATACACACACACAACCTTCCATCCTCTCAACAATTACAGTCCCACAGATACATTCACCAAAGTCCATAATACAACACTGACAACCTAAGAAAATAAGGCTAATGTTACTTTAATTTATGATCCCACCCCAATAAAACCTCACGCTGCCCATTCATAGAGTCACATACATCATCCGATAACCTGCTTTCTCTTAATGGGGCTCTTTGGTCCAGATTGTACAGCTGCATTTTTGGGAGAGGTCCCTCTGGAGATGGAACATAGCTCTGAGCACATGTGTCAGGAATGTGCCCCCTCTCCCAGAGCACAGCAGAAGAGTCAGCCTCTGAAATTGAGCTAAGTGAGCAAGGAGCTGACTCTGCCACTGAGAGCTGTCTGCCTGAGTTTAGAGAAGACAGTCTGCCCCTCCCCCAGGCAAGACACTGTTAGCTCCCAAGGAGAGGAAGAGTTGGAAGTTGGACAAAGCATTGCCAGGCAACCAGCAGATAAGCCAGAATTGGAGGGTGTGTCTTCTGCAGTCCCAGGACAAGGAGATTAGAGAAGCTCAGAGAGCAATGGAAGGGAAGGAGAAGAAAGGTGGGGTTTTGGCGTCCTTCCTGTTGGGGGAGGGACGGTGAGTCCGACTGAGATCATTATAATATGCTTTTCATGGAGAAGTCCCACATTCGTTCCCTGGTATTTCCAGTTAAAAGATGCAAGATTTGAGAAAGCTTGCTGCCTGAGATTCTAAAGTGTAACTGCCAGTCAGAAAAAGAAAAAGAAAACAATACTGGACTATATCAGGAATGGAGAGCCCATGGTCTTCCATATGTTGTTGACTACAATTCCCATTATCCCTGAACACTGGCTACGAAGACTGAGAGTGTTAGGACTTGGAGTTCAGCAACTTCTGGAGGGCATGAGAGTTCATCCCTTGGCTTGATGGACAAATAGTTTGACTTGGTGTGAAACAGCTACATAATTTCTCATAGCCTTAAAGAGAACTGTGAAGTGATTGATTATGGAGCAAATGGATAGGGAGCACTTCATGTATTGAGTGTCTTGGGTCATCATTCCACTTACTGATATAAAAGGAAATAACTGAGAGCAGATATCTGTATGTCATATTCTATCTGTCTGGGTATGAAGAGTAATGATACGGAAGATGATAATGTTCAAGTTATAGCCCTAAATTTAATCTCTAAGGTACCATTGAAGTAATGGAAAAACAAGGCCCAGTGTAACTGGTAGGGATGAAGGAATCTGATAATTTCAGTTTCTCTTTTTTGCCTCCTAAACTTACATTTCTACTTCAGTTTGTGATTTTTGCCCCCCCAAGAAAATGTCATCAGCAGCATTTTAGTGCACAGGGCACACACTTCTATATACAATTGTGCCTAACATGCACACTTTTGCAAAGCAATTTATATAATTTAATGCACTTTTGTAAGTTATTTTCATTAATACATGCATTTGCATGCCCAGGTAATGTGACATGCTGTTGTCATAACACAAGCAAATAAATAATGAAAAACCACAGACAAGAATTATTGGATTTGAATTAGGCCACAACTTTATTGATTTCAGATGTGAGATTTGACTTGGCATTGGGTATCACCCATACTAACCCAGACCCTCCAAGTGTCCCTATTTTCCAGGGGCATCCCTGATTTAGAGAAGCTGTCCTGGTTTCTGATTTGATCCTGGAATGTCCCACTTTTCCTTAGGATGTCCCTATTTTCTTTGGATAAATGTTGGAGGGTATGGAGTTATCTATCCCCAGAGCCGTCTGAAGGCAATCCTGTATAGGGAAGTTTTTTTTTAATGTTTTATTGTGTTTTTATGTCGGAAGCCGCCCAGAGCGCCTGTGGCAAGCCAGTCAGATGGGTAGGGTATTAGTAGTAAAATTATCATTATGGAATGGGACGTCCCTATTTTCATCAGAGAAATGTTGGGGAGTATGCTATCCAGCCCACATGTTGGACATGTGATCAAACCTGTTGAGGGAGATGGGGATGAGAAGCAGAGACAAATGAAAGGATGCAACCTTGAGTTGAGAGAGGGAGGGAAATCCAAAAGGTGACTGCGGTGCCAGGTGAGGGGGCAGGCCAGCTTATATGGCTGAGGAGAGGACCTGAGTGAAGCCTCCCTCAGGAGTCCCGGTCAGCTCCACCCCAGAAGCTGCGCCTGTGATTGGCTAATTTTGTAGGAAGGCCAACTTGAATTCCCCTGGCCAATGGAAAAGGTGGTAATGTATCCCATTGGCCAGAAGATGGTGGAGGGGCTGTGATGAATGAGTGGGGATTTGTATTTAAATTTTACCCAAGCTTATGCATTTTTGTAGCACATTACTTGTTTGAATAATGGTATTGTGAAATTCAGAGAAGTTCAAATTTTGAAGGATGGCTCTGTTTTTGTGTATTATTTCAGAAAGTGTGAATTTGGTGGGTTCACCTTCACATACAAACTGAATTAACCCCTCCCCCCCAATTGCTAGTGCCTTTATTCTTGGACATGAGTGGTCTTGCCATAGGTATGGCAGGTATTGCAATACTGTGCTGGTTCATATCCACATATAAGACCAGGAAAGGGCCCATCATTGTTTCTTGCTGCTTTTGTTTTACTGCTGTGATACCTTTCCCTGCGACTTTCTCTTTTAAGAGATCTATGAGTTATGCAGCATTTTCATTTACCATATTTACATATTTAATACTGCGGTCAAAACGTTCTATGGCAACTGATTGGATTATGCAAATAAGGGGTAGAACTGTTCCAGAACTCTGCCACTTCATAATTAGGGTGGGAGGTTGCAGGAGTGAATGTTTCTTTATATTAAAAACTCATAGCGGGCTTTCAAAAAATCAGTTTTGCAGGGACACGAATCCCTTGTAAAAGTGGCGGATGGTGGGGAGGTGAGATGCAATGACTTGGAAGGAGGCAAATTTCAATATTGTTTGTTGCCTATCTTTAACTATTTTTTTGAAAATGAAAATGAAATGAAAAATGAAAGCTGTGCAGATGCTAGAAGCAATGGCCCAGCTGGGAGTGGCACTGTATCATGATGTCATGTTGCTCCCGGGATGATTTTGGGTAAAAATAAAAACAATAAGATTATTTTTCACATAATGTTTTCACTCATCCTTTGAAATTTGGCTGGGCTGAATCCAGCACTGTTAAAAAGAAAACAACAAATCTCACACATAAGCAACTAGAGATAGGAGAGATATATAGCTTGGACTTTTTTTCCTGAAATGCTAACTCTATTTGCATCATGAAGCCCTTTTCTTTCCCCCTCCCATATCCCCACATAATGCCTGAAGGCTGTACTGTTCAGGAGCAGACCTACCACTTCTATTATTGTGCAAACTAGGCCAAAGTCCCTTTCATAGCAGCTAATTAGGACTTGCACTCTACCTGGGAGTGAATGAAAAGGAAATCATTGCTGAGCAGTTTTTGCAAGCTCTGCAGATGCACTTTGAGAATCCCCATTGGTTGAGTAACTCTGTTTATTTGTATGTTGACGCTTGTACGTGTGTGTGCTATTTTTCTAGAAAAAGAGATGCCGGAACTCACCCTGAATGCCTCTGTTGTTCTCTTTTAATGGCAATGGCACCCACCTGAGAGAGGCCAGAACTGAGTTCTGGTGAGTTCCAGCTGGAAAAAAGCCAACAAACACACACACATTTCTAGAATATATTTGTTTAGATTGCATTCTGTAAAAGAATCAATCTAAATGTGAGGGGAAACCAAGAGCTCATTTTCTTAGCACACTGGTTTTGGTTTGTGCTGGAGATACAAGCAAAAGTGAAAACTGGGAGCACTTGAAAGATTAAGAGACTGGCACTGGTACTGCAAATTGAAATCACTTACAGCTTGTGTGTGTGCTGCAGATAATCAGCCTCCCCCAGACAGGTATCCTTCATATGCTTTAAACTACAACTCCAATCAGCCCCAGTCAGCATAACCAATGGACCAAGATGATGTAAGCTATAGTCGAAAGCCATGGTTCCCAACGTGGGGCACACGCCCCACGGGGGGGGGGGGGACAATTTGATTTTTTTAAAAAAATAATAATATTTATTAGTAGTTTCAGAATTATAGAAAATAAAAACAAAAAACAAAAAACAACACAATAATACATAAAAAAGAGAAAAAAGAAAGTGCAAAAACCAGTACAACAGTACAGCAAAAAGATAAAAAGAAAAAAGGAAGACAGAAAAAAAACACAAATCCCAAATTACATATCTATAACTTCCATTTGCTTGTTTCATTGACCTCTTCACACCTCCCTTCTTGCATTCCAGTTCAACTAGTTATTTCAGCAAATTCTTTCCATCTTTCTCAAATTTTGTTACAAAATTTATCTTAACAATTTAACCTAATAATTAGCTCAACAGATCCTTTCCATCTTTCCCCATATTCTGTTATTCAAATTACCTTAGTTTATTTAACCTTATCTTACCCTAAAATACCTTAAAGCTTAAATCTTAGTTTTCAAATATACATAACTCCTGATATCATTTCTGCTAGAGTCATATAGTTTCATTCCAACATTTTCCCTAATATTCATTAATTTTAAGCTAATTCCCCAAATAGAAAGTTATTATTTATAATTTTTTCCAATTTTCATCCAACGTCTCTTCTTCCTGGTCTCGGATCGTGTCAGTCCTTACTGTCTATTCCATCTAGTCCATCAACCTGGAAGCCTTATGTCCGAGGCCCTTAAGTCTCTTCCATGTCCCTTCTGCAGTTCTTCTTCTTCTTGTTTATACTTGCCCTTTTCCTTGTCTTTTGTTGGTGGGACAATTTGATTTTTAAGGGGGGCAATTCAAGAATGAGTTATTAACCATTGATGGCCTTTTAGGGTTCCTACACATGAATAGAAGTTCACTTTTTAATAATAAGAAATACCACATTTTTCGCTCTATAAGACGCACCGGACCATAAGATGCACCTAGTTTTTGGAGGAGGAAAACAAGAAAAAAAATATTCTGAATCTCAGAAGCCAGAACAACAAGAGGGATCGCTGTGCAGCGAAAGCAGCGATCCCTTTTGCTGTTCTGGTTTCTGGGATAGCTGCGCAGCCTGCATTAGTTCCATTAGATGCACACACATTTCCCCTTACTTTTTAGGAGAGAAAAAGTGAGTCTTATAGAGCAACAAATACGGTATATGTCATGGGGTGGGGGGGCATCAGGATTTTAGAGATGCTTAGGTGGGGCATGGCCAAATAAAGGTTAGGAACCACTAGTCTAAAACATCTGGAGAGCACCAGGTTGGGGGAAGGTTGTTGCAGTGGCACTGGCACCCCATAGCATAACTGCCAGGTGGCTGAAAGACCACTGAAACCCAATACTATTCTCTGAAACTGACCCAGGAGACAGGATCAGGACCATTGTAAAACAATGTCTCCAATACCAACATTAAAGAGTTGGTTAAGGAGGATGGTCAATGGTATCAAAAGCCAATGAAAGATCAAGTAAGAATAACAGTCATGCTTCCCTGTCCTCTTGATAAAGGCAATCGATCTGTGCCACCAAGGCCAATTGAGTCCCATCAACAGGCCTGAACCCCAATTGGAATTGGTCGGGATAATTGGTTTCATCCCAGAGTACTTGCTACTGCTGCAGCACGACCCTCTCAATCAATCCATTTTCCCAGAATGGTGTTATTTGTGACCAGGAGGCAATTGTTACCAATCAATGGATCTCAGGTGGGATTTTTAAAGAATTGTTGCTTCTTTAAAGCCAGTTAGAACCACTCCCTCCTGCAAGGATGCATAGACCACATCCTGAATGATGATAGCATAACAACAACAACAACAACAACAACAACAACAACAACAACAACAATAACAACCCTAAAATATTTTAAAACAACTAAATCCCAACAAACAGGGTCAAACAACTGTTGATGTCAACTGTAGCAGAAGGACACTCAAGGTACCTGCCATTAAAAACTTTTTTTTCAAATTCATCCTTGGTAATATGGCACCAGACTAGACAAAGGATAGTTGTCAAGTCTCTCTGGTTGGTCTGGGAAACTACCATTCTCATTACTGTCAAAGATGGGAACACCTGCAGCAGGGACTCATATGGTCTTGATAATAAACAGGCAGGCTCAGATGCAAGAAGCCAGACCTTCAGATACCCCTGCTCTAGGCATCATCAATGACACCAGCAAGAATGTGATGGGACCCAATGTGGAACAGGATGAATCTCTAATGTGTGTGTGTGTGTGTTATAATAAATAAATAAATAAGCATATTTTGAGCTCACTGCAATTGGAGTCAAGGGGAGTTGGTCCATCATAGCCATAGGGGTGAGAAACCTGTTTTGTTTTTTGTTTTTTTAAAGTAGTTTACATTCCCAGGAAGCTGATTTTTTTCAGTCAGGAAGAATTTGTTCCCTTGCTCTGTACTGTACTGTTCCAGAATAAATACCTGTTTTATTGTCTTCTCATGCTATTCCTCCATCACAAAAGAGGTATCAAAGCACAACAATTATTGTAGAACTTGGGAAACTTTTCTTAGTCCTCTTGCATCTTAGAAAGGAGGCTGGGGTGAGGGAGCGCATAATGAGATCCACTGTGGGGAAGTCAAGGAACAATTTGCAAGCTGGAGCTGTGTTAGTGCCTATCCTTCTGAAATCATGAAGTCTATAGAATTAAATCAGTTGCATGACCCAGTTACAAAACTCACCCAATAAAGACTCTGCAAAGTGTTTTGTTTTGTTTTTCATTTCTTTCTAGGAGCACCAACTCAAGTGAGTACACAAAGCTGGACTTAATTGAGACAATATTCCTACAGAAGATGAACTTCTCTAGCAGAGTCTGTGGTGATCACAGCTCACCCAAGTCAGATGACAAAAGCTGGATGTCAGAAAAGTCACAATGTATGGATGGGCAAGGCCTGGGGCTCCCCAAACAAGGTTGTTAAGCACCTGGTAGGGCACAATACATGGGGAAGCTGTGTTTGGCTTGATGGGTCACTGGAGCACTGTGTCTAGTTATGGGCACTGCAATCTAAGAAGGATATTGACAAGCTGGAACATGTGCAGAGGAGGGTAAACAAGATGATCATGGGTGTGGAAACCAAGCCTTACGAGGACAGTTGAGGGAGTTGGTATGTTTAGCCTGGAAGAGAAAAGACTGAGAGGAGATATGATGTTGTTGTTTAGTCGTGTCCCACTCTTCGTGACCCCATGGAAGGGGCTTGAATAACTCAGAGAAGCTATGAGCTATGCCGTGCAGGGCCACCCAAGATGGACAGGTCATAGTGGAGAGTTTTGAGCACACGTGATCCACCTGGAGCAGGAACCGGCAAGCCACTCCAGTATCCCTGCCAAGAAAACTCCATGGACAAAGATAACAGGAGATATAATAGCCATCTTCAAGTATCTAAGGGGCTGTCACATGGAAGATGGCGCAAGCTTGTTTTCTCCTGTTCTGGAGGCTAGGACCCAAACCAATGGCTTTAAGTTAAAAGAAAGGCAATTCCCGCTAAACATCAGGAATACTTTCCTGACAGTAAGATAGCTGTTCAATAGTGCAATGGACTCCCTTGGAGATTTTTTAGCTGATTTTGGATGGCCTTCTGTCATGGATGCTTTAATTGAGATTCCAGTGATGCAAGAAGTTGGACTAGTTGGTTCTATTATTGCTACCCCTGGTCCCCTCCCAAACTGGTGGGTCGAGCTGGCTGGGACTGATAGCAGTTGCAATCTAAAACTTCTGGAGGGCATCAGATTGGGGGAGGGCTGGTGTGTTTGTGTGTGTGTTGCTATGAAGCCACTGAAGTGCCTTATAGTAAGCTATGATAAGTTTTTTACTTACATGTTGGACGTGGGACTAAATGGATTAAAAGTCACAATTAATAGGTACAAAATTTAAGGTATTGAGACTGTACTCCTACCTGGGAGAAAGACCCAATGAATTCACTGGAGCTTGATCGATAAAACTTTATTCGCATTAGCCAATGGCCATAGCAACAGTAAAACATTACAGTATACACAGAAAAGGAAATTTGATATAAGAGCGCAATTTAAACTCCTGAATCAGCAATCAGTTAGTGGCCCTTATTCTGATTGCCCCTGCTATGAACCTAGCAACCTTTGCTGTTATCTGCTCATTTTGATCTGATAGAAGAAAGAACATTGTGGCAGTAGTTGAGCACCCTGGGATGGTTAGTATGAGTGGGGTGATGATCTCGTTCCTCAGGTCTTTATAGAGAGTACAAGACGGGAGGACGTGTGCCGCTGTTTCGGTGCTACCATCTCCACAGGGGCAAAGGCGTTTCTCAGGCGGGATCTTTTGGAATCGAATCTCAAGTACCCCAGATGGCAAAACATCCAGTCTTGCAAGTGTAAAAGCATGTCTGTATTTTGGGATGATAAGTTTGTGCAGATATGGAGCCAGAGAATAAAAATGGAGAGGTGGAAAATGAATATACCAAGGGCAGAATTTCCTTATAGTGTCCAGGTTGTTCTGACACTCGATATCTATTAGACGTTGACCAGTTAGGCTGTTTGCTTTAGTAGGGCCCATACTGAGTAGGTGTTGTGGGGATAGGCCACAAGAGTGAAGTTTTTGATAGACAGTTTTAAGCCAGGCACTTTTATGGAAGTCTTGAAGTACTAGGGATAGTAAATCGGGGGGATTTGAGGATTTGGAGCTTACTTCAGAGCAGACATGCTTAGCGTTGAACTTAAATCTATTTCTATCCCCTGCTGTAACAACAAAACAAAGAAAGATGAGGACACTTTAAGAAAACCTCTCCCAGAAAGAAGCAATCCCTCCTCTTCTCCTTCAACTCATAACCTATCTGATCCTATTATGGACACTTCCTTAATAGTCCTGACAAAGTGTCCATCCCTTCATAGGGAGATGGGCTGATTGCTCTCAATACCATATATTTCTCCAGACTTCAAGATAGGTTGGAAATACTTCAAAGGGAGCATGGCTTTCTGCATCTACCAAGCTCAAGATGATGTAATCTTGGTGAAAGCAAGCCTGCAGATTTTGAGTGAGAGACCGACTACGAAATCAAGACAGCTGAAAGTAAGCTCTGGGAGCATGGTGGTGAATAGCTGGCACTCTCCTTATCACTGGTGAGACAGTGGATTTGGCTACCCATTGAAGTGCTTATGTTGTGTTTCCACCTAGTTCAACCTATAAATTTGTAAATGAACTCAAAAACCCCAATAAGCTGCTGGTGATCTGTTGGGACCAGGGGAGACCAAACCTGGGTAAGCTCCATTTCTTTGTTGCTTTTTCACAACTCGAAGAAGTGGGGGAAATTTAATACCCTCTCTGCCTATAGCATGAGTCTGTGGCCTTCTAGATATTGTTAGACTCTCCCATCAGCCCCAACCAGCATGGAGAATAGTCGGCTGTGATAGGAATTGCCACCATGAATTGCTGGCCAACCCAAGCTACAGTCAGTGGGTTGGGTGACAAAAGAGGGTTAGAATCAGGGCTTTTTTTCCAGCTGGAACTTATCAGAACTTAGTTCCAGCATCTCTCAGGTGGTCGCCATTGCCATTATAAGAGAACAAGGGAGGCGTTCATGGTGAGTTCCGGCACCTCTTTTTCTAGAAAAATAGCACTGGTTAGAAACCTTATAGGTTAATGAAAGCAGATCTTACTCATCGTTTTGTTATGTTGAAAATGATACCAGAACACATTCGGCATATATTCTGAGTCAAAATGCGGTAGGAGGAATTGCAACCCTTTCACTGGCGTTTGATACCATCAAAGAGCAGCATTTCTTTGTATGCATGTTGTCCTGTCAAATCCAGTGTTTATGAAACAACCAAGGAATCAGTGCTGCTTTCTCCGTGTCTCCCCCTCAACCTCACAAAAATAGTGGTAAATGAATATATATGAGCAGGGCTTTTCTGCATTCTGCATTGAATTAACTGGAATTTGTTTGTATTATACAGTAGGCAAATGATACATACGTAATTATTTTGAATAATTCCTTCTGATTCTGTTAGGCATGAAACCCTACTCCAGTTTTAAAATGATGTCCAGTGCTTCCTATCATCCTTGTGCCTCTCCAGATTGTTGTTGTTGTTGTTGTTGTTGTTGTTACCCCCCTCCAAATTATGTTTGTTTGTTTGTTTCTACACCACCCATCTGCCTGGGTTGCTCCAGCCACTCTGGGGGGCTACCACCCAAAAAATAATAAAATAATGAAAACACAAACACAATAGATTCAAATCTGTCTTTGCAAGCTGAGAAACTAGAAACATTCTGCTTCAATGAAAGGTAGGGTTCCCTGATACTTCAGTCCTAGTTAGAATGTGTGCAATGCAATTCTGGACCTGTACAATATATGCATTGGAATATGCTTTTTAAAAATAAAATAAAATTAGGCAGCAGTGTGTGGCTGTTAAAAGGCGATAGGAGATCATAACTCAATACCGATGCAGAAAAATTAACAGTTTAAATGGGAATATTTTTCCTTTCTGAACTTCCCCTCTAGAAAAAATCTGTCATAGGCAACACATTCCTACAGTTGGTCTTGTATTTTTTTTAAATAATAATAATAATTGGCTGCTCTTTGTGTTCCCAATTAAGGGTTTATTAATTTTAAGGCAAAGGCAGATGCTGGTAAGCATTATTAAATCTAATTTTAAAAGATACAGTTCAGCTTTCTGTTGACACTAGAGCACGCACATTTGCTTTGAAGTTCTAATTGGCTGGAGTTTCTAGTTTCCTTTCCAAATTCTCTCAATCTTCACACATGAATATGGTGATGGCAGAAGGGTAATTATGTATTTATTTTTGAATGAGCAAGAAACACAGCCTCCTAAAAGTCTCTGCACTATATGTGGGTAAGGACGAAGGAGAAATTTGTACAGTTCATACTGTAATCTGAACACACAACATTCACACAGATCCTCATTTTATGATGCAGTTCTCCAACTAAAAACCACTTTTTAAAAGTGTGTGTGTTAGGGAAATATACCTATATTAAATAAAAACAATTGTATAAAAAGATTGTAGTGGCCAAACTGGAGTGGTGGTTTGACACATATTCTCTCAGGGAGAAGGAGAAGATTTCAATAATTGAGGAGGGGAGGGGAAAGTATTCTCAGGAAATTCTGAGAAATGTTTTTCAGTTAATACTAAATGAAACCACATTTTAGTTCATACTGGAAAAATAAAGGCAGTAATGGGCTCAGAGAGGAGGACTGTAAGGAGAAGTGAAGTCTGTTGTTTTGTTTTCCATTGAAATGAAAATAATATCAAACAATAATACAACTGGATCCACTGATCACCAAAAATTATCCACAGGCAGTGAAATTTGGGTTTAAAGGAAAGTTCTAGTATTGTTCTTTTAAATTAACTAGTTAATAATTGACGATTAATTAGTTAACAGGCAATTAACTAGTTTTCATCAAATAGTAATCCAACAAAAGGAAAGCTAAGGGAAACAAAAGCAGTTCTAACCAGATCCGGCGACGGGCAAGAGAGGAGCACTCTCCAGCCATGTCATGATTTAAATTCGTATGGCCACACCCCCAACCAGTGCTGATTGGACAGCGGGGCCACCCCTGGATGGCACATCACTGGCATAGCACGAGGGGGGGCTTCAATCTCCGCAACCCACCGGATCACTGATGGGGCCCAGATGCCTAGCCACAACTCCTCCCACCAGAAAAGGTAGGCGGACTTGTGGTGGTACAACTGCCTGGGGGAGAATTGGGCTTCAATTCTAGACCCATTATACTCCCAGTACCTGTCTACTCATAATAATAATAATAATAATAATAATAATAATAATAATAATAATAATTTATTGATATCCCGCCCTCCCCAGCCAAAGCCGGGCTCAGAGTGGCAAACAACAGTAAAAATAGTACAGTTTGCATAAAATCACAGTCAATTAATTGAAATACATTCTAAAATCAATTCAGAATCAAATTAATGGCAACCATTGGGCTAGAGTTCTATGAGGATTACAGAAGGAGGGAGGAGGTCAGACTGTGCCTTGGCCAAAGGCCTGGTGGAATAGCTCTGTCTTGCAGGCCCTGCAGAAAGAAGTAAGTTCTGTTAAGTTCTGTGGGACTTGCAACCAGGTAAGTGTGCACAAAACTGCAAGCAAAAGTGGGGCAATTGGATGTGATTTAAGTTCTGCTGTGGCAACAGACAGGGAGATCTGTCAGGAGGATGGCACTCACGTTCAGAGAAAACACATGCTTCCTCCATGAATGCCTGCAGACCACTCAGCAGATGAAGATGTTGCACCCGAGAGGTTACAAATCCACTTTGAGCCTCTCTGAAAAAAGAATTCCAGAGTTGAGACGCACTGCAACCTCTCTCCTCACCCTCCCAGTTCTGGCAGTGAAAGTATACCCAGCTAATCTTAAACCTTGTTGTGGTACACATGGAGGCAAGTTCATAAATATACCGGGTTTGTATACCTCACCATAATCTTGCATTGGCTGTGTAGAAACATTAATTCAAGAGTTATAATCATCGCCACCATTTTCATGGGATGCACTGGCTTTTTATCTTAAGCAAAATTAAACTGACTCTTGCCAGCATTAAGAATTTGAGGAGTGGGAGGCGGGAGAGAACTTGAGCCTTGAGGATATTTAACATGAATCCTATACATTAAGCTAAAATGTTCAAGTAAACCTGCTAATCCCAGAGGCATGACAACCGTGCATTATTGCTAAAGCTCTTATTCATGCCATAATGACTTGAGAACATTTATTTTTAAACAAGATACAGCCTGCGTGTCATGTTGTCTTATCTCCCCCCCCCCCGAAGGCTAGTAGTTATTTGGATTAGCTGTGCAAGCACATATCACTATGTCTTTTGTGATGTGCTTAGCTGTAGACATCCTTTACCTCAGGTTCCTTCCAGGCAGTTCTTCTGGAGACAGCTGACTGCAACAAGGTGGCCCCTATCCTTCACTGTACTCCACAAATATATTCAAGGAGGACATTCTGCAGAGAGGAAACAAAATGCCTATATTATTATTACATTTTAGTTTTGCGTTGATTCTTGTACGAAGAAATTAATGATAGATTTAAATGAGATAGCTTTAAAACTACAGAAATTCAAGTTAGCAATCCTTGAAGAAAGCAAAGCTTTCTTTTCAAAAATCACACACGCAAAATAATGCAAGAGACATAAGAGGAACCACTCAAGTATGAGAGAGTCAAGGGTCAAAGTTTTCCCTTTAGAAAGCCAGGAAAGAATCAGAATCTGTCCCAGAATAGCAAACAAGGCAGTAACATCACCCAATTAGTGATGTTGCGGGAGCTTGCCTGAACCTGGCTCAGAAGCAAAGCCCAAGCTTTTGAAGATCTCCATTAAAACAGGAAGTGAGCATCCCACCTCCTGAAATTTCTTTTCTGACTCAGATCAAAATCTCACTTCCAATGCCTGCCTCCAGCATTCCCCTGCCTCTTCCACCCCAGCTACTCACAAACACTCCTTCCCTTCCCTTCTCCTTACCTGGTTGACTGGCAGGGTGCAGGTGTGGTGGCAGCAACAGGAGAAGGGAGAAAGAGAGAGATTTTTTCTTCCCCACCCCTCCATCCTTCCATTGTTCCACATAAAGGAGACTGGATGCAGGAGGGGTTAGTGGAAAGTAGTTCCCGTGGCAGAGCCTCCAAATGTTCCTATTTTCCAGGGACAGCACCAGATTTACAAAAGCCATCCTGGTTTCTGACTTGATCCCAGAATGTCCAGCTACACAAATAATAGAACATTCAACATTTTAAAAGCTCCCGTATACAAGGCTGCCCTCAGATGTCTTTTGAAGGTTGTATAGTTGCGTGTCAAGACCCCGTAACCAACCCCTCATTGAAATGAAACACACAGGACACAAATATTATGTTAATGTTATTGGGCAAATTTTGGCCACAACTTTATAGATAACAGAATGTGAGTGGTATTGGCTTAGGCATTGAATGCCCGTTCTGCAGGGAGTCCAGTAAGGGTAAACCACCAGAAGGGGGAGCAGACCAACTTGAGCTCCCCCAGGTGTTCCTGTCGGGGTCATGTCATAGTCCTAGACCTGGCCCGGGCTTCGGACAATCCAGACCCCCAGATTCCTTTAACAGAATAACCTTAAGCTTGGAGGGGCAGGTGATGACCACCTCCTCTCCCCCATCAAAAGATCAAACAATGACTAGAGGTGAACCAAGAGGAAGCCTTCCAGCTCCCGCCTTGGCTTAAATTGTCCCGGCCACACCCCCACCAGCCAGCAGATTGGCTGGCTGGTTGCTGATGCTGCTGGGATCCCCCGGGCAATGCGGGACTTCGTTCCCACCCCCAGGGGAGAGTGGGTGGCCACGCAGTCCACCGTAACTCTTCTCCACAGTGAGGTGGAGCGGATTTACTGTATCTCCTTGACTTGGAGGGGTCGCGTAACTCCATAACCCCCAACATTTTTGCAATGAAAAAGGGGATGTCCTAAGGAAATGCAGGACATTCAAGGGTCAAATCAGAAACTGGGACGGTTTCTGTATATCTGGGACTGTCCCTGGAAAATAGGGACCCTTAAAGGGTCTGCAGTTGGGGTGAGAACATAGCCCTGTGTGGTGTTTGCCCTCCTAGGTGGGTCATAAGGAAAGGGTTAAATGAGTGTGAAGTGATTGGCCAGTGGGAACCCAAGGGGAGGAGTTAGAGTTGGAGTTGTTTGGAAGTCAGTTGGGAGTTGGAGAAGGAAGAGGGAGGATAAGTTTGTGGGTTGGTCGAGTTTTGATGTGAGAGAGTGAGAGAAACTGATAGGAGGAGTCAGATAGACAGCTGGGATAATCAGTTAGCAGTTATTAGGAAGGTATAGGCCAGTATAGAAACTAAGGATAAGAAACTGTCAAGAAAAATTAACTGAAACCATAAACTTGTTCATGCTTATAAAATAAACTTAATTATTTGTTTTAATGTTAACAACTGTCTGGACTCAGTGTGTACCCGAGAGAAACGGGTTGGTGGCAGCAGGGAAGTGATCATAGTGGTGGCACAGGGATCAATAGACCGTCAAACGTCCGGGGACCCTGTGTGATCGCCACACCCTGTTTCACACACTCCTTATAGGGAAGGCATCCAAGGATGAATTGTTATACTGGGTGGTGTGGAAGGGCACAACCATCTCATGGAGCTTAGGTGGGCATCCTATCTTGTGAAGAGTCCTTTTCGGCAGTAGTATCTGTTGGTGTAATGTCTTATGCATTGAGCACATTCCCCACATCTGAATGTTGAGAGATAAGAGAGCAGGTGCACTGGGAAATCTGGGAAATAGGGACACTTGGAGGTTCTATATATGTTCAAGGCCCTTTCTCATGAATGCCCAATCCAAGTCTGCAGGGAAGGATGGGTGGTTTGACCAATGGGCATGTTGAGGTTTGGAGGTGTGGCCAGCAGGTGACTTCCTCCTCATATATGTAGTGAATTAATGAGGCGTGGTCAAGAAATTGGTTTCTGCATGTGCTGTAGAGGGAAGTGAGGGGCAGATGGAGCTCGTCAACTTGGGAAGGTAGCTCATCTAGGAGAAGGAAAACTCTGATCCTAAACCACCACTGCCTTCTGGAACATCTTCAGGAGAAGAAGAGGCTAAGGAGCAAACAAATCCCAAGTGGTGTCCCTAAGATGGTTGGATGGTGCCTTGTAAGCCTCCTTCCCACAAATTATGCAGCCAAGCTAGTGCCAGACATATTGCTCTGCTTTCCTTTGGACCACATCAGCCAGGCAGAGAGTCAAATCTTGTTATCTGGGCAGCCCAAGACCTCCAAACACGCTGACCAAGCTTGCACCCAGTGGAGGTCACTTAGGTGTTGCTTCACCCTTAGAGGCACCCTCTACTGTCTCTTGAGATAGATGGATGTGTCAACAGTGTTGGAATACACTTTTTAAATTCTCTATATGCAGCCATAATAAATAGTTTTAACTTTTGCAGTCATCCATACAAAGTACCATTCTTTTTGTTTTATCTACCAACAGTATTAAAAGAGAAGCAAGAAGGAGATATCCTTCACTAATTGAGAAGGTGTGCCATCTAGTGTAAAGGGAGAGGGAGAGACTGGCCATTTATTTCCTCACCCCCCCCCTTCTCTTTTAGTTGCAAAAGCAACTGATTAGTCTTATCTGCACATATATCTTTCTCATTTTTATCTAATAAATGATGGTTATGAAGTTTACGTAGGGAATATCTAAATTCCTTCTGCCAATTATTTTTGTCAAACTCCAGTAGGAACAAAAACTTGTTCCAATTCAGGCACAATTTGCAAATTGATTTTTTTTTTTTTTTTTTGGTAAATCGGTGCTTTCATTCTGCTTCAACAGTGATGTATCTAAATTACCTTCTGGATAAATTGGAGGACTGAAAAATCCATTTTTACCTTCCCTGCAGAAATGCATGTTTGTACCATAAGCGAATAATTTATTTTTTTATCATTGTCTCATAAAACTGGGATTTAATTCCAGGCTCTGACAAGTTTATGAATCCTCATAAATATTAGGAAAGAATTGGAGATGCATGCGGTGTTTAAGGAGAATGATAGAGTTGCAAGGTTAATTTGCATTGCAGACTGAAACAGAATCTCCGGGTGACAACAGATAATTTGAGTGTTGTTTAAATCCAAATGGCTATTACCTATACTTTAGCATCCTGTTCTTCCCATCATGCAGAATGAGCGGGTGATTCTTTATCTAGATTATTTATTTTTTAGCTTGATAGCTGGAAATAATTGTGAAGGTAAGGACTGAAGAGAAAGTTTGGAAGCTGCAATGTACAAAGGTGACATATACATGCCATTTACATTACATTTTGACTTCCACACTGCTCAACACTGGTATGTGGCCCTTGCAGTTTGCCTGCACGATTGGGTTTTTTTTATCCCTTGCTACATTTGGGTAACAGTCAGGGCTGTCTTAAGCATATCCGGCGCAGTGGTGCAAAGATCCCTCCGGCGCCCCTCTCATTTCCCAGAATTGTCGACCTTTTCCCAAGCCTCTGCGGGCGTCGCTCTCCTCCCACGGAGGCTTGGGAGGCAAGCTGCATGCCCACCAGCCATATGGTTGACTGGGCACAGCTGGCAGGTGTGCAAGAAAAGGGGAGGCCGCCGGCAAAGCCGCACAGCTCCCCCACTCACTGGGGCACCCCTGAGAGGCTGGCGCCCTGCGTGACGTGCCAGTAAGCCCAAAAGCAAAGATGGCTCTGGTAACAGTAAGACTGCAAACCTTTAAAGCATGTCCATGCACTTCAAGGAATTCAGTGAGAAATCCAAATGTTCAAAGCTGCAATTAATAATGAGCAATAAATATTTTCAAAAAAGTTAACAGCTATTTGGTAAATTCAGTGTGTTTGCGTGTAACCATTATTCCTTGGGGGTGGAGAATGCATGTTTCCATGGGCTATCAAATCTACCCCTTGAGGAAAGAGGGTTGTATACAATGACAGTAAATTAATATTCAGTTGATAGAGGTCAGGCATTTTCATTTAATAAGAATTTGTTACAGGAGTCTGTAACTATTCATTTGCATCCTAATAGGAGTCTAAAAGCCAGCTTCTATCACTGTTGAATTTAGCTTCTGAAGAACAGAAACATCAGAATATTTCTTGGATTGACTTGCATAATGGCATATAGTTCCAGTTACTCTATTCTTTCATTTTTCCCAGTTTTCTGAATAATGAGAGGGTGTGAAGAAAGCACAGAAGTCTTCTGTTGCTCTTTTGTCATAAACTTTTCGTTAACAAATATTAGGGATGGGTGACTCTGTCTGTCTGTTTTGGCTCTCTGCATTTCTCATTTTTCCAATTTTAAATTCAGTTCTCCACATTTCTGTGGCAATTTGCAAAATAAAATAGAATAAAAATGTCACGAAATTTCACCAGAATTTTTGTGTTAATTTCTCTTCTCAAATTCATTTTTCCTTTGCAATTTTGCTAATATACATGTATGTGTACATCAATTTCGCCTAATAGAGGGGGAATGTATGTTATTTTCACTAATAGATGCACTTACCTGCACACTTTACACTAGTGTATGCATTTTTGTACACGTTAGTTAACTAGAGAATTGTATTGCAAAATTCAGAGGTGCTTGAGTCTCAGACGATGGCTGTGTTTCGGTTTGCATATTGCTTCAGAGAAACAAATATACATATTGAGCAGGGAGAAGAAGGAAGTTTGGAAACAACCTCTATCTTCCAAGTCAACAATGCACTGTTTAGCTCCCCAAGGATGCTTTTTCCCAGCCAGCTGCACAGCTCAAATTTCTGTCTCTGCATGGATTATGCATATAGTGGATAGCTGGTAGCTACTTCAAGACAAATAGGGTGTGTGACACAAATCCAGTAACTTGAAGTAACCATCAGCTATCAAACTGTACAAAAGCCTAGAGGAAGTGGCCCATTTTTATTACTATAGAGCATGTTTTGGTCTTTATAATATTATGGACAGATCCAAATACATACCCATGCTTACCCACTATGAATTGTGCAATGAATAATGAGTGCATGTCATATTGAGTGTGACATGTCCATATTCACAAAGGCCCAGTGCACACAATACTTTTCTCTAAAATAGGAGGGAGAAATGATTCATTCAGCCCTCTGTCCATATTAGTTTAGTGGGACATGGGTGGCGCTGTGGTCTAAACAACTGAGCCTCTTGGGCTTGCTGATCAGAAGGTTGGCAGTTCAAATCCACACAATGGGGCAAGCTCCTGTTGCTCCATCCCAGCTTCTGTCAGCCTAGTAGTTTGAAAGCACACCAGTGCAAGTAGATAAATAGGTACAGCGGTGGCAGAAAGGGAAACGGCATTCCTGTGTGCTCTGACTTCCATTAAAGTGTTCCGTTGCACCAGAAGTGGGTTAGTTATGCTGGCCACTGGAACCAGAGGGCTGTCTGTGGACAAACATCAGCTCTCTTGGGCTGAAAGTAGAGATGAGCACCCCAGCCCCATAGTCACCTTTGACTGGACTTAACCATCCAAGGGTCCTTTACCTTACTAGTTTAGTGAGGAGCGAACACGCCCAAATTCACCTCAGATCAATATGGAAATAATCTGAGATTTCCCGTCCAAATTCTTTAAAAAAAACAGACCTGAGACCAAGCCAATCTGAAGGGTCATACAAATGCCTCACATCTCAATCAGTTCTCATGGTTCCCAATTTCCTCAGTCCCCCTTCACTTCATTTCTGTTTCACATTTCACAAATCATGAGCTCAGTTCTCCACATTTCCACATCATTTTGCAGTTTGTTTCAAAGTCCTTGTGAAAATTCACCACCACTTTAGTGTGAATGCACGTAATGTCATGTTGCTTAATATGCTTAATATGCACATTTTTGCAAAAGAAATCCCCCTAAAATATGTGTATTTGTTTGTGTCCCCCACTAATATATCTATTTCTATGTACACTTTAGAACAGGGTTTCCTAAACTACTGTAGGACTATGATTCCCATCATCCCTGACCACTGGCTCCGATAACTAGGGATGATGGGAGTTGTAGTCCTACAGCAGCTGGAGACACAAGTTTAGGAAACCCTGCTTTAGAATAAAATATACAGTTTTGCATGGATTTACCTGGTTGGAGAGCTGTGTTGCAAAATTCAAAAAAGTGTGAATTTTGAAGGATGGCTATATTGTTTCAGATAAAGCAAACTGGGAATGGAATTGTTTTTCTCCCCCATTCCTATGTTAGGAGATGGCTGAAGGGAGGTTTTCCTTTTCTCTCCTTCCTTCTGTGTCACCCTGATTTATTTATTTTTTGAAGTAGCATCAGGGTTCACTAAGCTCAAGGGATCCTAAGAGATGTTCTCCTTAGGGCTCCTGCAATTGCAAAATTTCCTTTCAGTTCTCTGCTCATGCATTGCTGTTCCAGATGACTGATGGGAGAGGAATGAGAAGGTGTGTTTCAGGAGTTGGAGAGGGGATGGGAAGGGTTTTTTTGGGGGGAGGGGCCCACAAAGGTTGGCAAGGATGGTCAGGCAGGAGAATCAGGAATGAAAGGCCTGCATTATATTTTGTGAGCATGCTGTGGTGTAGTTTGCCCATTCATACAGCTACCAAAGGTACAATGTCTGCATCCCAGGTTAAAAGCAGAACTGGGTTTGTGTTGCTTCAGCAGAAATGGGCATCATGTAATGTAGCACTTTTGATGAGTTCCATCTTCAGCATTCTCTTTTTTAGACTGCCGCATTTTCTACAGACAAAAATAAGAAACTGTCCAGCCCCCAATAGTAGTTAAACACACTTCTAATGACAAATTCCTATGCAATCCATGCATTATCCTTCATCAGCACAATTTAATGATAACTCCGCAATGAAAACATTTCCCTTCTGCTTTATAATGATGTCATTACACTACAGAACCATGAGAGTAAATGCTTTTAATCTTGGGGTTTGAAGAGAGACTGTAAATCAGGATAGAATAAAGTATGTAATTTTGAGAGATTAGCTATGATTAATATTCAGTCATGGAAGACACTAAATGTCGACACATTTAGAAATACATTCTTCTAAAAGGAATTTTTGCTCACTGAACTTGTCAGCCATTAAGGTGCTGTGAAACGGACCGCTGGCTGCACAGTGATATCGGGGAAAAGATGATGTGATTTTTGCCCATCCGTTGCATTCTAATTTATTGCGCTAAACGTGCTTATCTCGCTGAAAATAAATACACAAAGATGTTTTCTGCTCCCACCTTTTTAAAAAAGTTTCCAATAAAATAAAATAAAATCCAGGGACAATTTAATAGGTTGTTTACTCTTACTGACATAATATTGTTTATCAAAGATTGCCATTTCTCTTAATAAGAGAGCAGAGATGAGCACAGAAATTACACAAAGATTTGGAAAGTTGTGATGGCACTTCCAAAGGCATCCATAGCTTTACAGTGATACTTTGGTTCTCGAACTTAATCCGTTCTGGGAGTTCGACTCCTGAAACTGTTCAAAAACCAAGGCACGGCTTCCGATTGGCTGCAGGAACTTCCTGCACTCAGTTGGAAGCCACATAAGCCATGTCGGACATTCAGCTTCCTAAAAACATTTGCAAACCGAAACACTTACTTCCGCGTTTGCGGAATTCGGGAGCTGATTTGTTCAACAGCTAAGCTGTCAAGGAACCAAGGTACCACAATATTTATTTTGCCAGCCCTGGTTTATTCTACCTGTATTGCAAAGCCCTGTCCTTACGTCCCGATCTTCTCCATGCCATGCCAAACCAATGGGTAGGACAGCCCCACTGACCTCACATGGAGAGCAGTGACCCAGTGAAGTAATAGCCTAGGCAGATGTACCCAGACCACTTAGCTTCAGGATGCCACTGAGTAGAACTGGCAGCTGAACACCAAGTAAATTGTAAGGATGCTGTCAGAGGCTCCTGGCTGGTTGCCCAGGAGTGTATAAAGACAAGGAAAAGTTTCTGACCGTCCTTTTTTATTACAAACTTTACAGAGAGAGGCTATAGAACCCAGCCTCTTGGATAATGGTGTTGTCCCGAGTGAATCTCCACCTCCCCATCTCTCCCACTTCCTCATTCGTCTCTTCTACAGTTGCCCTCTGTCTTCGAGCTCTTTGCTCTCCTACTTTTAAGGCTCACTGGGTTCTGGGAGATGGAGGGTCTGGAATACTTTCTAATGACAATGTTTCAGCCAGGTATTGTTCAGGGTCTCCCATGATTTCCCAGCTTTCCCCCTCATCTGCCTCTGAGCTGCTCAAACCCCTGTTGTAAATCTATACTGTCTTCCTCTCTCCCCCCCCCCCCCAGGAAGGGTCAGGATGGGGAGGAAGTCTCCACCATTCCTCCTCTGCCCAGTCCCTGACAATTAGTTTTCTTTAAAAGTGGAAGCCGGTTTTCAGATGATACAAAGCTCTTCTTCAGGCTTTGATTATGAGAACAAAAAATAAACATCCAATAGTCTAGATAGAAACAAACGGGTAGTCAGGCTGATGGTTACCTGGTTGCAGAAGTTTACTGGCCATTGCTGTTGGCATGGAGATAGTCTAGGTTGAATGCAAACATGCCATTCTGATGTCATGTGTGATGTCACAAAGAGGGTATGCTTTAAGTCTTGGCAAAGCCAGAAACAGTTAACAGTCAGACTGCATCTCAGCACTGTCAAGATGGATCTCCATAACAGGTGATGAATAGTTTTATTTGGGGACTATATTAACTTTTACTATTGGGGGAAAGTTTTAGATTGGTCTGCCAGTTTGTAACCCATCAAGTTGAGGCCAATAGATATACATTCACAACCCTGTACCCATCAAATAATCAACTTTATGTGTGACTTTGGGACTGATTCATACAACCACATTACTTTCTCAACTCTATAGCAGCTTTTTCTCTGTATTTTAAAAAAATAACCAAGAAGGAGAAGATAAGGAACCAGGAATAAGATCTGGATGAGTATGGTGAGGATCTAAGCTTTACAAGTGAGGGGGCTAGGAAGATAGCTTTGTGGTCCAGCATAGGAATGATGGGTGCTGCTTCATATTATTGAATTCCTGTACCACAAAGAAGAAGACTTTGAGCTCTTTGCTCTCCTACTTCTAAGGCCCACCAGGTTCTGGGAGATGGAGTGCCTGGAATCCTTTCTAATGATGACGTGTCAGCCAGCTGCTGCTCTGGCTCTGCCTGCTCCTCCTATGCCATGATTTCCCATCTTTTCCCCTCCCGCAAACCACTGTTGTAAATCATACTGTCTTCCTCCTGCTCCTCCCTGGAAGGGTCAGGATTGCGATCTCCTCTTCTGCTCAGTCCCTGACATAAGGGTATGCAAAGGAAGACAGTGGAGGATTTAAACTCATTCTGCTGGCTTCCCAATGGAGAGCAGAAATTTGGGAAGCAGATGATGATGGAGCCAGCAGGAGCTAGAGAGAGGGTAGAGAGCCAAGTGGCTTAAAAGATACAGAGGTTGCAGCATTCCCCACCCTTACAGAACAGAACAGCCCTGAAGGAAGGTGCTGAATGATGCTTTCACAGTAAGCGGAAGTTTCCTATTTGTCATTGTTTTTGTTGCCTGTGTTTGTTTGTGGCCATCTAATCTTCAGCCAAAGAGAGCGAGTGCATGCACCTCAAATAATACAAATGGAGAGACCTGAGGCCCTACAGGAGCATAAGCCGCTGTCATTGAAGATTGAAGTTGGAGCGGGCCAGGGGGAGTCTGGAGCTGAGGAGGTTCCTAACTTTGGAGAGACCTTGAAATATGCTTTTAAATACTTTTTGGATTACATTGATGACTGTGGGGAGTGGGACTGGGGAATGGCCGGGTTTGATGAAGGGAGATGGAGACAATTTTGGGTTGGAATCCCCCAGAGACCTACTCCTCAATGAGAAAGGAAAGAAATTAAGAAAGAGACCAACAAAAGACAAGGAAAAGGGCAAGTATAAACAAGAAGAAGAAGATCTGCAGAAGGGACATGGAAGAGACTTAAGGGCCTCGGACATAAGACTTCCAGGTTGATGGACTAGATGGAATGGACAGTAAGGACTGACACGACCCGAGACCAGGAAGAAGAGACGTTGGATGAAAATTGGAAGAAAATTGATAAAGAATTTTTTTTATTTAGGGAATTAGCCTAAAATCAATGAATATTAGGGAAAATGTTGGAATGAAACTATATGACTCTAGCAGAAATGATATCAGGAGTTATATATATTTGAGTATTAAGATTCAAGCTTTAAGGTATTTTATGGTAAGATAAGGTTAAATAAATTAAGGTAATTTGAATAACAGAATATGGGGAAAGATGGAAAGGATTTGTTGAGCTAATTATTAGGTTAAATTGTTAAGATAAATTATTTAACAAAAATTGAGAAAGATGGAAAGAATTTGCTGAAATAACTAATTAAACTAGAATACAAAAAGGGAGGAGGTCAATGAAACAAGCAAATGGAAGTTAAAGATATGTAATTTGGGATTTGTGTCTTTTTTTCTTCCTTTTTTCTTTTTTATCTTTTTGCTGTATTGTTGTATTGGTTTTTATGTTTTGCGTTTTTTCTTCTTTTTATGTATTGTAGTGCTGTTTTTTATTTTTTATTTTCTTTCCATAATTCTGAAACTATTAATAAATATTATTATTTTTTTAAAAAAAGAAATTTGCAATTTTATATATGGATGCACATTTAGAAATAACTACCATAATTGATACAGAAATTCAATATATCTCACCCCAGTAGGAAAGACTGTGACCAGGAGACATGTATGCCTGTCCTAGGTTGATCTAAAAATCAACGGGCAACTTCTTTCTTATCATTCTTCATTTTAAACTCAACTTGAATTTATCCTAAATTTGCATCTGCTGTAAGTTTACACCAGTTTATGCCAAATTGCTTTGTGATGGCTTCTTGTGTATAGGATTGCTCCCTTAGTGAATGTGTGGTTGTTGTGAGACTTGATCTCAGGATTTCTGGGACCACATGTTATACTGTTTGCTGCTATGTTCTCTCCTGCTAAATTTGGGATGGAAAGCAAACACGATTACATATTAAACTTCTTTCTGGAAATGGTAACATAAATTTTATGTAATCAAGCAAGAAGCATTGATATTGGAAAGAAATAAAAAAGGATGATAAATTTTAGCTTCAAGAAATGTTATTAGTACAGTTAGTAATGGAACAATTAAATTGTGTTGTAAAAATGTGTTTAGAGGTAAATGCTGAGCAATCCTTATCTACATACAGATGGAATAAAAGGGAATACTTCATTGTCTTCTAAAGTCCTGGGAAAGTGAAATGTACCAATAAAACTATAGAATCCACCATAGGGATGTCCAATATCCTTGAATATGTGAATTTTGAAATTTCAGTACACCTGTGTTTATTTCCTTTAACTGTTACTGCTTTTAAAAATTATAAGATTTAATCAGTTTTGTGAATTGCAGTGCAATCCTAACCGTATATAGTGCAACTGAATTCAATGGATCTTAGGTAAGTTGGTTTAGGATTCCATCGTTAGTGGTGGCTGCATCAGGAAATAAAATCTGGGAGTGCATAAAAGGGGCAGCATATATTTCTAGGTATTCCATTTGTTAAGATCGCTGAAAGACAAATAACATATGTCAGATAGGAATCCAGCATGTGAGTTCCTTGTTTGCTGTGAGGGACTGGCAGGGCTCTGATGAGTGAGTAGCAGGGGTGGGGAGCAAGGTCGAGGCTGACTCAAGGGAAGGGATCAGTGATTTATTGGGTTTTGTGCCTCTTGCAAGGCAGGAGCCATGGCTGGAGGAAGGGGAAGAGTCAAAGCAGTCGGAGATGGGGGAGAAGGTACAGGACGCGCTAGGAGCAGAGGAAGACAAGCCAACTGAGAGGGGTGGGGTGGTAGAATCCCCTCCATCCCCTCCCCTGCTGTCTTTCAGGACCAGGAAGGGTTTGAAGGGGCAGAAACAGAGGCAACTTCTGCACAGGAGAAGTCACAGCTTGTTTGTGAATGCCCTATCAGGCAGGAGAACTTCAGTTTCAGTGGAGGCATGGTCATGCGGTTGCGTCAACAGTCCGGCTTGTAGGTGTGTGCTTTATCAATAACGAAATCAACTACTTACTCCTTTGGGGGCTGAGGGTACTCTGGAGAGATTGGAGCAACCCCAAATCTCTTCCAGCCAAGGATCCCTGGACGGTTAAGTCCAGTCAAAAGCAGCTATGGGGTTGTGGCACTCATCTCGCTTTTAGACCAAGGGAGTGTGGCGCTGTGGTCTAAACCACTGAGCCTCTTGAGCTTGCCAGTCAGAAGGTTGGTGGTTCAAATCCCCACAAGGGGGTGAGCTCCCATTGCTCTGTCCCAGCTTCTGCCAACCCAGCAGTTCAAAAGCATGCCAGTGCAAGGAGATAAATAGGTATTGCTGCGGCAGGAAGGTAAACAGTGTTTCCATGTGCTCTGATTTCCATCACGGTGTTCCGTTGCATCAGAAGTGTTTTAGTCATGCTGGCCACATGACCCGGAAACCTGCCTGCAGACCACCCATGAGCCTTAATTAACTAAAGTTTAGTTGATAATGAGTGGTATCTTTTATTTGTTAAATGTGCCACGATGCAAATTTGTACTTAATTTCATTTAATTGATTTAATCTGTGTGGTTGTTTTTTTTAAAAAAATGATTAATCAATTAAAATACTTTGAATGGTAGATGGTTCTGACAATCTTAATTGTGTTTTTAATGAGTTTGGTTTAATCAAAGGCAAATTTGTGAACCTCCATTTCCATAGTAACCAAAATCCATTCTACTTCCCTAATCAACCACTGTTTAGATACTGGAAGACCAGCTGAGCAAGATGAATAATTTTAGTCCAGACTAAAAGGGTGAGAATTTGGAGCACTGGGATCTCTATCTACAGATCTTATAACATCGCCTTTCCCCTACCCTGTAGTGGAATTCCTTTATTAACTTTGCTAATGACCAGTTTTTAAATGTCTTTGAGATATTTTGCACTTTACCAATGCACACATATTTAACCTACTTTCAGAACCAACAGTTGCTTGTCACTTTCTGAAAAGCAGAAATGAGAACCTGCTTTCTACTTGAAATGGAAAAGGCAAGCATAGAAAAGAATGAGAGATTTATAAATCAGTTGTGAGGGTAGTAGCAGTAGTAGTAGTAGTAGTAATAATAATAATAATAATAATAATAATAATAATAATAATAATAAATAAATAAGTTATACCCCCTCCCCATCTGGCTGGGTTTTCCTAGCCACTCTGGGCGACTTCCAACAAAATATTAAAATACAATAAAACATCAGACATTTAAAACTTCCCTAAACAGGACTGCCTTCAAATGTCTTCTAAAAGTCAGATAGTTGTTTATTTCCTTGACATCTGGTGGGAGGGCATTCCACAGGGCGGGCACCACAGCCGAGAAGGCCCTCTGCCTGGTTCCCTGTAACTTCACTTCTCACAGTGAGGGAACCACCAGAAGGCCCTCAGAGCTGAACGATGGAGGTGAAGACAGAAATGGAGAACTTGTGGCCCACCCATGGTCATCTCAAGATGGTTTCTTGTCGGAAGTGTACTATCAAATGGTACCACCACCACCTCAAAGTCAAAGTGCATGGTCCTCAGGGCTGATTAAATTATGTTGGCACATTTGGCAGAAAAATTGCCCGAGCAATTTGCTCCCAGGTAGTAAAAATAAAATTAAATAATTTAAAAATAGCAACTTGCTACCTTTTCATAACAGCTCAAATAAGCTGCCAGAAGGAGTCACATTACTCCTTAACAGTGTGACCAGATATATGGCCTCCTGTTGTTTCTGCACTACAATTTGTGTGTTTAAAGCAAATGTGGATATTTTCACATTGGCAGGGAGAATGTGAATCTCCCCTCCACCCCTGAAATTTGTTCTGACAGGATTTATAAAGCAGCCCATAACTGGGACGCTTGGGCTACGCCGTCTAACGTTTTGTGCTTCTGCATGCATCCAGGTTCACTTAAGCAGGTTGATATCTCGCTCTTTTGTTTCTGGGCAGCCCTGTTTGGGCTCTAATTTTGTCAGCACTCAATCATTTTTCCACTGATATCTGTGGTCAGGTTACTATTGGAGGCAGTGCTAATTAGAAAGGAGACTTTTCTTCTCCCCAGGGCTGATTATCAGCCACAGATAGGGGCATGCTTGTGTTGGCAAATAGATCAGATGCAAAATTAGGTACCAGCATAAATTTGGAGCCTTTGCTCAACCCAGACACAGGACATTCACCAGACACTAAAGAGAGAGGAAAGATAAAGGAGGGAAATCTGTTTGAGAATGCCAGAGTCAAGAAGTGCATTTTTCTTTTTCTACATTTAATCCTTATTGATTTTAAATATTGCATCCATTCACCACAAAAAGAAAAAAAGTAAACACATTCAATACAAAGAAAATTTTACATATAGAATAAAGTTCTTCCATGCATTAAGACTTCCATCTGCCTCAGCATGGATCCTTCATTTCCTTATTAAAGGCATAATGTATGACATTTAACTTATCGTAAATTATCTATAATCTTTATAGCATATGGTATTGCAGAAGTTAATCAAAGCATGTCAAAGATTTCATATGGGAACAATGTTCTTTTAAATATAATCTGTATATATCCCATTCTTTCTTGAACTTTTGGTCTGTCTGGTTCCTAATTTTTCCTGTCATCTTTGCATAATCAAATAATTTCTCCTGCCATTCCAATTTAGTTGGTATTTTATCTCCTTTCCACCATTTGGCTATCAGCATTTTCGCGGCAGTGGTTGCATACATAAAAACCCTCCTCAATTCCTTCAGAATGTCTGCAGCCATAATACCTAAAAGGAAGGCTTCTGGTTTTTTTGATGAAAGTTAATTTAAACTTTTTTTTTTTTAGCTCATTATAAATCATTTCCCAAAAGTTCTTTATCTTTTTACATTTCCACCACATGTGGTACATTGTCCCCTCAGATTCTTTACATCTCCAGAAAAGGTTTGAATTAGTTTTTCTAAAGATACTTATATCCAGTTTGGGGTCAGCTGAATTGCCCCTTGATGGCTTTCCTGTTGGTATGGGGTTTTAGTCTTCCAGAAGTTGTTGGCCCTCTGGTCAGTGCCTGGGTCCAAGTTTGTCTTCCATATTTCTTCTGCTCCCACAGAGTTGCTGAACCTCTTATCTCCCTATGAGGGAAGGCGAAGCAAGCACGTTATATCTGGTGGTCCGCCTAGCTGGAGTAGGCTGGTCTTCTTTATGCTGGTAGGAGTTATGGATACCACCTTCCATGATATTTTGGGCCTCTGGCCAGTGATCACATAGTTGTCATTAATCTTCCAAGAGCAAAGCCTCTGGGTTAAGACATTTTACTCATACTTAAGGACTACGATACTTTCTTGTATTCAATGGCATGTATTCTCTGCATATAAAACAAATGGGTGAAATGAAACATGAAGAAGAAATTGTCGCATTGATAATGACAATAATAATTCAGCCAAAAGATTGCATCTGGTATCCTTCCACTAAGATTTCCCAAGAAAAATCTGATTCATTTGTGCAAATTGAGTAGAAACATAGAAGTCAGAAGATGTGAAAACACTCATTATTTTCCATAAATATTTATGGGATGTAATATTTATGCAACAAAGACATGGGGCAGTTTCATCACTCTATGGGAAATAATCTGAAATTGATTTTATCCTCTTAATGTAATGCGCCAGTTTTCACGTTTAGTTGTTCTTGGGTGGAACTAACAATTTGAAGGCAGCTTGAGAACTTGTAATAAAAAAGGCAAGGCTTACTTAAGATAAATATGGATATTAATTCTGCCACATCCAGAGTCTCAATAAATGCATTTACTTTTTACATGATCTAATTTTATAAAACATTTGGAGAGACTACAGAAGGAGAGATGGCTCTAAGCAACAAATGTGATATTTTTTTTTATAACTGCTATCATGTAGCTATGCCTCTCTCTATAACTTCTTTTGGAATGGGTTTCATATTATTTTTTGCCAGCCGTTTGACTGAGCAGGATTGATGGTGTAATCAAAAGGGAGACTGCCACAGATGGAAGCCAGAAGCAATTCTTCTTTTAATCTGCTTTGTTTCTCAAATGTAGACCTGGCTGGTAAGTATCGAAGATGCGCTAAGGGGAAGCTCTGTTTCTTTTAGAATTATGTTTGTACAAGACCGACAATTTTATTTTAATATACACAGCGCCTTGGGAATTGGCAAATGAGAGCGACGCAGGCAGGTTGCAAGAACCCGATGGAGGAAGTCAGCTTATTTTTAGAATGTAAAAACAAAACAAAAAAAGAACCTAGGATGACCAACTTTTCATATCAAAATTTCGGATACTTGGATGGGGCTATGAATTTGCCAAGAAGTGCCTGTCACAGTAGAGCCGTTGGTAAGCTCTGCTGAGGCCGTCTGATGTAATGGCTGTCCCCAAATTAGAGTTGAGGGGAGTGGAGGCCTCACAGAACCAACCTGTCATGGCAGAGCCAATGGAGTGATATATTGATGATATAAGGCACATCATGGGTGGCTTGACTATTTTACTTGAGTTGCTTGCTCTGTATATATGGCATTTTCATACTCTCCAGTGGATGGCATAGATTCTATTGATCTGTAGTTGCTGAATGTCATGTGTGGATGGGGGACTTGCATGTAAGAGCAGTAGCAGCCTGGATAGGATGGGATGGGAAAGGAGAAGCTTGTGTGAGAGAGAAAGAGAGGAGTCTAGGATATCTAAGGTGGTTGGATGGTGTCTTGTAACACCTCCTTGCAACCCCTGCAGACAAGCTGGAAGCAAATATATCACTCTGTTTTCTTTTGGACCACATCAGCGAGGTCGTCATCTGGGCAACCTAGGACTTCCATATACTCTGCCGAGGCTTGCGCCCCACGGAAGTCACTTCGGTGCTGCTAATGTAGCAAAAACCATGCAAGAGTTGTGAGTTACAGTCTCTGCAGCAACAGCAGGCACTTGTCATGGGCCAGGAGTTGGCTTCACCTGCTGAGCAGCAGCCTGAAGGAGCAGAAGGCAAAGTGACTCCACCTACTACTGATCAGCCGTCTTACTCCTGATGAGAACCAGATGACTTCAGCTTTCTTCAGCAGGGTTTCCAGCCTCAGTCAGTTGCTGGAAACAACATTCGTAGTTCCTGGACAGACCCTGCTGCTTCTTGCTTCTTGCTTCTTGTGACCTTGGACCCTCAACTTTCTTGACCCCTGGATCATCTGACTACGTGAACTGAGATACTGCTGACCTTAGGACTGGATTGAACCTTGCATATGGACTCTGCCTCCAAGCAGGCTCCCCCCTGAAACTTGGCTGGTTGGCCATTGCTGGGAGCACAGGACTATGACAGTGCTGTGATTCACCAATGGTTTGACTTCTTTCCCAGAGGCACAGTCAATTGTCTCTTGAGACAAATGAATGTCAACAACAGCTATAAGTAGCAATTCTTGCCAATATATTATGGGTAGAGAAAAGGGTTTAATCCCTATCCATTGTCCTAAATCCAGGAAATTTTGTTTGTTTGTTTGTTTGTTTGTTTGTTTGTTTGTGTTTGTGTGTTGCCTGCATTGATCTCTGGATTTAGAATCCCTGGCGGAACATTTTGTCCATTTTTATCACTGCCACATTTAAGAACTCAATGTGCTTGATAATAACTGCTGTCAAATAAGAACTCTAAGGTCAGGTATATTTTCCCCTTTTTAAAGAAGCCAGGTGAACTGACAAATTGACAACATTCCCCACGAGTCACACAGACAGCAATTTAACACCAATATAAGTTCTGTATAACTCAGTGAAATTGAATTCCACAATCAACATTTTGTGATGTTTTAATTTTAAAATTTGCATGGAACACTGTTTTCTAGCACTCTACCCATTCCTTAAAACCGTCAAAAGTTACCCTGCTGATAGACACATTTATACTTATTTCCTCCAAATATCCTTAATATCACTTTGTGGTAATGAGCTTTTGTATAAAGAGTGTACTTGATTTACATAATGCATGCTCTTCTGCTGTATTCTATTTCATTTGCTCCAAAATAAAAGTAAGTGACGCCTGAAATTGCAATTTTTGCTCTTTCATCCACTACAGTTTAAACTGTATATTCTGTGTTTTTGAGGGAAATAGAAATAAATATATTTCTATAAAAGTTTGTATGTGCAGGCACATGTGTTTTTTCCATTTCCAGATAGATCACAATTACCTTATATTGCCTGCAAAGTCTTTTGGGCCCCCAAATTGACCAAAATCAACCAGACATTCATGCTTGTCTTTTTATTGTTGCCATCCATCAACAGCCAAATATTATCTAGGCTTGTTCTCATTTGAATAGAATCTAAGTTACTCTCTGCTATGAGTATATTTCTAAACTGTTTAGGGACTATGTGATTGTTCTCATCGTTTCAGACATAGCACAATGTCTATGTATTTGACACTCCAATTTCCCTTATATAGATACAAAGTGATTTACTTGTCAAATTTACATCAAAACCTATGTACCTCAGCGAGATCCAAAATGATTTTGCTATTTCCTCTGCATACATTTGCCTCCTGTGAAGGCTTGCTGTCTTTTTTCTCTTTTGAGAGTCTGGATTAGAATACAAAGACTTGGCCATTTCGACAGCTCTCGGAAAGGTTTCCTTGCAAAGGGAGATGGATTGCAGACTCAGACTGTAAAAAGGGGGGTTAAGTGTACTTATTGGGGTTGCAAGAAATGAGATTAGTACAATTATTTAATTCTGTAACTGAATTTCGTTTCACCTTGGTTGTTCCAGGCCAGCAGCTGGGATCAATGTAAGTATTGATGCCCGTAGTTGTCTTTTCTTTAAACTATTTTCCTCACATTCTACAGGGGTATCCCATAGTCTAGATGGCTTGGCTTCTCTTTTATTTCATAGCAACTGCTCCTGCTTTGTTGGGTCTGTATATCAGTAATTCTCAATGTTCCTCTTGATACCAAACTTAATCCCTCTAAAACATTACAGCTGCCCCTAGTTTTCAGTTTCCCAACACATTTCCCTGGTAGCAGCTAGTGAAACAAAGAAACAATGTAGTGTCACCATAATTGCAATCCACCCACTCCAATTCATTAGCTGCGGGGTGTGAAGAAATTGACTGAAATGCTGTCACATCAGAACTATATCTTATGAGCTATTAACAGGGAAATATGTGGGTCTAATGTAAGCATGCATCCTCTGTAGCTGCAGACCCTTAATCTCCGCACACTCCAGCAAGGTCTCTGGAACATTCCTGCACACTCACACAAACAAATTAAAAGTCTCTCTTCAACCCCTTTCCCCTGCCCCACACCTGTGCAATAATCAGATCTAAAATAAGAACTTTTTTGGGGGGGGTGTCTTGACTTAAACCTATTGACAAACCATTTATGGTGCAGAATTCAGCGGCCAAGTTGCTCACCGGAGCAAGACGGTTTGAGCATATTACACCAATCCTGGTACGACTGGACTGGCTACCAATTAGTTTCCGGACCCAATTCAAAGTGCTAGTTTTGACTATAAAGCCTTAAAGGGCTCAGGACTGCAATACCCCAAGGACCGTCTCTTTCCATATGAACTTACCCGGACCCTGAGATCATCTTCTGAGGCCCTCCTTTGTGTTCCCCCTCCTCGAGAGGTCCAGAGGGTGGTAACACGAGAAAGGGCCTTCTCTGCAGTGGCTCCCCGTCTGTAGAATGCTCTCCGCAGGGACGTTCGCCTAGTGCCTTCATCATACACCTTTAGGCGCCAGGCAAAAACGTTCCTCTTTAACCAGGCCTTTAGTTGATCTGATTTGTAGCCTATGTCCTTTTAAAATTTATTTGGGGGGGGCTATTGGGTTGTTGTTTTTATCTTTATTAGGTATTTTGTGGTTTTATATCTTGATTTTATTCTGTGAATCAGCCTGAGACCCCCGGGTATAGGGCGGTATATTAATCCAATAGTAATAATTTCTAGAACCCCCAAAAGTTTGAGCTAAAGAATTCATCTCCCAGGTTCAGGTTTGTCTGCCCAAAGTTCTGGACATCTCTTCTGTGATTAACTTCCCCATGTCCTGTTACACAGAATTCCTATCCGGTTTTCATTTGGCCCAGTATTCATGAATCAAGCCCTCTTAGAGCTTTGCTATGTTCTGACCTTGCTGCAAGCCTGCTTTATTTCTCAGCAAAACTCTCTTCAATTACTAAGTCAGACCTAAAAACGATCTGTTTGCTACAGCCATTCCTGGAGCTTCTGAAATCTTTTCAACAAGTCATTGGGCCCAGTAATGGAATACTTTTCATGTTAACAGAGGGTGCTCCTTATTTGTACGGCATTTGAGACCCATCAAATGGAATGCTTCTAAATGGTATCCATTCGCTGCTGCAATCCAGCAACCAGATGAGCTCTTGTGTGTACTAAAAAGTTTGTTTTTTTTATCGCAGGTGCAGTTTTTCAGCTTTAAAATGGGAAATGGGAGTCTAAAATTCCAGACTGAGTGATAATATTCTTTATGCCATTATTCATAAAAGATTCCCCCTCTTACATAAAATTTCAGTGGCATTTAATTTGGCCATGCATTTCAAATAGCATATAAACTAATAGTGTAGAACAAAAAGAATGTAATGAGCTGGTGTTCATTGATGGGATGCATTTACGATTGTATGGAACTTACAATTGCCACTATCTTTTTTTTATTTTTAAAGAAAAAGATAAAAGATAAAGATTTATTTATTTGAAAGGATTTTTGACATCCCGCCCCCCTTAAAATATAGTGCAATCCTGGACATTTGTTTTGTCGTTTAGTCGTGTCTGACTCTTCCTGACCCCATGGACCAGAGCACGCCAGGCACTCCTGTCTTCCACTGCCTCCTGCAGCTTGGTCAAACTCATGTTGGTAGCTTCAAGAACACTGTCCAACCATCTCGTCCTCTGTCATCCCCTTCTCCTTGTGCCCTCAATCTTTCCCAACATCAGGGTCTTTTCCAGGGAGTCTTCTCTTCTTATGAGGTGGCCAAAGTATTGGAGCCTCAGCTTCAGGATCTCTCCTTCCAGTGAGCACTCAGGGCTGATTTCAGTCCTTCCAGGACTGATCTCTCCTTCCAGTGAGCACTCAGGGCTGATCCTGGACATTAAGCCAGCTGAATTCAATCTGAATTCCAGATAAGGCAGTACCATATATGGCAATGGTTTTCAACCAGTGTGCTGTGGCAATTCTTGCCAATATATTATGGGTGGAGAGAAGGGTTTAATCCCTATCCATTTTCCTAAATCCAGAGTGCCTTGAATGGTAGCCAGGTGCCACAGGCAACACTGGCCTCTGTCCCTCTTTCCTTCCTTCCCTCCTCTGATGCCCTCTCTCATCTCTGCCTCCCAGTGGCTTGCACAGCTGTTTGTTTCAGCAGTCCTGGCTACAAGCTCTGCAGGCAAATGGTGCCTCTGGGGATGGTCACAGGGTACTGGTTGCCAGGAGCTGAGGAGGCCTCAAAGTAAGCAAGCAAGCGAGTGGGGGAGCCCAACCAGCCAGTTCGCCAGCTCTTGCTGTTGGGAATGGATGGACAAGTTCCAGGCCCCTGTGGGGCAGTGTGAAGAGGCACCTCTCTTTGTGGCAGAGGGGCAGCTCAGAAACCAGGGGTGACAGCAGCAGCTGGCCGAGAGGATGCCCAAGAAGAAGGGAGAGGAGAGGAGGCTGAGGGAACGCTTCACAAGGGAGGGTGTTTGAAAAGGGATGAGAGGTTCCCAGCTCTGCAAGCAAGGGGTGACATAACTGGGCTTATGAACTCTACAGGGGTTCCCCAAAAAGAATGTAGTTGGTCAAGGGAGCTACGGACCCCACAAAAGGTTGAAAACCTCTGGGACATGGAATGCCTCTGCATGAGAGCTGTGTTTGCTTCTCTTCCACAAGATTCATGACTGAGGGCTTATACACACACCTGCCAATTGCTTGGTTCTTTCCAGACACAAGTCCATGCTTTAAAGCGGGAATTGAACTCGTTCATCCCACTGGCTGCACTGTTTCCTTTCAGAGTGTGACATCACACTTAAGACTTAATGACTACGTTCTTCAAAATAAGCTTTAAAAAGGTAAAGGACCCCTAGGCGGTTAAATCCAGTCAAAGGAGACTATGGGGTGCAGCACTCATCTCGCTTCAGGCCAAGGGAGCTGGTGTTTGTCCACAGACAGCTTTCCGGGTCATGTGGCCAGCATGACTAAATTGCTTCTGGTGCATGGAAGACTGTGAAAAGTGCCAGAGCACATGGAAATGACATTTACCTTCCCGCCACAGTGGTACCTATTTATCTACTTGCACTGGAGTGCTTTCGAACTGCTAGGTTGGCAGGAGCTGGGACAGAGCAACGGGAGCTCACCCCATCACAGGGATTCAAACTGCCAACCTTCTGATCGACAAGCCCAAGAGGCCCAGTGGTTTAGATCACAGTGCCACCCGCTCCCTAAAAAAAAAAAAGCAAAAAAAAAAAAGAGCTAACATTTATTTAGCTCATATTAATCTGTTTAATCTAAATTAAATGCATTGTTAAGTGTGTTTGGGACACGTCATTTAGAGTGTTAACCTTTGAACAAAAGAGCTAACTAGTTTCACATGGAATGCAAATGCCTACAGCTAATTATCAAGTGTAATTGCATATGCTGGCGAAGCTGTGCTGATCTTTTCCCTGAGATATCATTTCCAGCAAACACACAGATAGACATCTATTTGCTGGTAATGAATTTCTGGATGTCGCACTTCCGTGGCTAATGAACCAAGATAAAGATAAAAGGAGAAAATGAGGACAGGAGGGCAGAAACCTTGCAGAGCAGGCTTGATCCACAACTGAAAACAACCACTTTTTTGGGGGGGTGTGTGATTTTTTTAATTATTATTTTTTGCAAATGTTAATGTTGAGCACCTAAATAAGATGGTCTTTTGGCCAGACTATGCCAAGCACACAAATTACACGTGGGTGTGTTTTTTTGAGGGGGGGTTGTTATTGGGTTGTTGTTTTTATTTTGATTAGGTATTTTGTGCTTTTATATTTTGATTTTATTCTGTGAACCTCCCAGAGACCTGCAGGTATAGGGCAGTATATGAATTCAATAAATGAATAAATAAAGGTTTTAAATACCACTGCTTTCTGTAGTGTGTGCATTTGTGTGTTTAGTGTTTTAAAAGAAAAACCACAAGAACTGGAGGTTTAATTTCTACAAACCAAGGAAATTGGAAAGTCAGGTTGATAGGGTTCCCATATTTCAAAAAGTCCGGACACAGAAGTTGTTGAACTTTTTTTTCCCTTTTGCATAGTTATTGAGCTTCTTCTGCAAATTCTCAAAAAAATTAATAATGAAATTTTGGACCTATTTTTAATGGAATTCACCAAAATCTACACTTCCGACATGGTTGTCGTACATCCAGATTTCCCCATACATTTCAGCAAGTTCCACCCAGAGTCTATTTCCGATGGCCAACTCCTGGCTATGTCTGGGAAATTCCAGATGTATAGCAACCCTAAAGGCTGATGTCTTAGCGGACATGCCCAACAATTAGCAGGGATGTTGTGCAGTGTCACAAAATGTGCTTGCTTGCCACTTGCCCTTCATGCACCCACATTTTTCCTTGGTCTTTCAGGCTCAAATCCAGATGGAGAGGAGGGAGTGCCAAGAATGCCTCAGATTGTTAAATAGAGGATACTTCAACTGTCTGGTGCTTGCTCCTGGAGGAGAAATCCCATTTGGCATAAACTAAAGGTAAAGGTAAAGGGACCCCTGACCATTAGGTCCAGTCGTGACTGACTCTGGGGTTGTGGTGCTCATCTCGCTTTATTGGCTGAGGGAGCTGGCGTACAGCTTCCAGGTCATGTGGCCAGCATGACTAAGCCGCTTCTGGTGAACCAGAGCAGCACACAGAAAGCTGTTTACCTTCCCGCCAGAGTGGTACCTATTTATCTACTTGCACTTTGATGTGCTTTTGAACTGCTAGGTTGGCAGGAGCAGGGACCAAGCAACGGGAGCTCACCCCGTCATGAGGATTCAAACCACCAACCTTCTGATTGGCAAGTCCTAGGCTCTGTGGTTTAATCCACAGCGCCACCCGCATCCCTATAAACTGCAGAGACATGTTCAAATGAAGCAGAGGTTAATCACATACCCTGCAAGTGTCTCTATTTTCCAGGCACAACCCTGGAATTATGAAAGCTATCCCAACTTCTGATTTAATCCCAGGAAATCCCTATTTCCTCTGCCGGTGTCACTGCTGCTGAGCTCAGGGAGGAGGATGAACTGTTGGTGGTGCCAGCAGTGATCATTGACACAATAGCTCCTGAACATCTTCAGATGCAGAAGTGAGTAAAAGTGCTCAGTATTAGTTCTTAGTTAAAAAGGTAAAGGACTCCTGGACGGTTAAGTCCAGTCAAAGGTGACTATGGGGTTGTTGCGCTCATCTCACTTTCAGGCTGAGGGAGCCGGTGTTTGTCCACAGACAGCTTTCCGGGTCATGTGGCCAGCATGACTAAGCCACCTCTGGCTCAATGGAACACCATGACGGAAAACAGAGTGCACAGAAACACCATTTACCTTCCCGCTGCAGTGGTACCTATTTATCTACTTGCACTGGCATGCTTTTGAACTGCTAGTTTGCCAGAATCTGGGACAGAGCAATGGGAGCTCACTCCATCACAGGGATTCAAACTGCCTTCCGGTCAACAAGCCCAAGAGGCTCAGTCGTTTAGACCACAGCGTGACCCGTGTCCCATTATGTTCTATGGGTAGCAGTAAGTATAATGCTTCTAGATTGGCTAGACCTAGTATATAAAAAAAACAAAAAACAGGATCCTGACCTTCTGCCCTTGACTGGGATCTCAGTTGTGGCTATTCCATATCCCTTTGCAAAACTAAAGCAACCCTTCCCACAGAGAGTTAAACAGCACTTTTATTCAAGTATTCTGCAACAATATATTGTGAAATATTGCTACCGATACAGCTGCCTGTGATAATTTCTTCTTTGTAGACAGAGGAAGCAATCCTGCTTTCCTGTAAAACTGCCAAGGAGGGAGATCTATTTGATACAGGGAAAAGCGTTAAAAGCAGATTCTCTAAATTAAAGAAATGGCATATCTGAAGCGGAAAGTGTGAGATGTGGAGAAATGTGGGCAATCTTTTATAATGGCATCCATAGTCCTGGCATTCTCTAAGTTCAGCTCTTACATTCATTGTTCTAAGGTCAGTTTTATTGCTGTTGCTAAAAGGTAGGAAACACCTCTGGAGCAGCAATTGTTAATGGTCAGTGACTCTTGCTTTTCTTGATCATACGTCAAGGTCTTTTTGTTCCGGTCCAATACATTTTCCAGCCAAGTGAGGAAGAAATATAATGGCATAGTCCTCTGCCAGAGCATGTCTTCCACACTTTACTTCAATATGTGCTCCTTCAATAATCCTTGGGAAGATCGCAAGCGCTGCGGAGCCCACCACTTAATGTCCATGATTCAGGGCAATTGCTCAAGCTTTTAACCATATGCTGTCTCTCTGTCTCAAAATTGATAAGCATGGCATGGGGAGCAGTAGTGAGCTTTAACCCTTCTTTCCCAGAAACATGAACACTACTTGCTCCATTATCAGCCTTGTAGAGCTAAGGAGATCTCAGTTGTCAAGAGATTTCAAATGCTGCATTTGCTTAGAACTGTGGTGTGACTTCTTGTTATCTTCCAAGTGTGTGTATAACATTATTTTGCTGACTGATATAGCAGACATTCTGACTGCAATTCCCCTATCCGTCCAAGCTGTCACAAGGAGGAGAAATAAAGACTCACTTCCACATATATTTCCTTTGAAAGATAACATGAAGAGTAGAAGTGTCCCCTGTGAATTGCATTACTCTCGCCACAACCCCCACCCCCGGCTATTCTACTTGTTGCCAGTCACACACAACTGTGTTTTGTGTGATACAGGGAACCATCAGTGGTGCTATTTCTGTCAACCTGTTGATGATATTGTGAGTGCAGCATTGCCTAGAAGGCTCACTGGTTTGTAATTGAGCCATTGAAAACCAACAAAGAAACTTCAGACATTGATTAACTTAATTAATCAATTTGACAATATTGATTAGAAATTGCTGCTCAAACTTTTCAGGAACCATATGCTGTTCTTATTTTGATGCCATTTCAATTGTTCTGATTTTGTGTTTGTGTTCATACTTTATGATTGGAATATTTCTTCTTCCGCATACTGCGTAGGGAACTTAATCTTTGTTATTGCTGTTAATAAGTAAATAAATTCACAACTGTATGAGATTTGTACTTGAGAGACAGCATACAAGACTCAGGAAGAAATGAGCAAACTTTGTGAAGAAGAAGAAGAAGAAGAAGAAGAAGAAGAAGAAGAAGAAGAAGAAGCTGCTGCTGCTAATAAACTTTAATCTAATAATCTAACAAACTTTTCTATGTCTTTGTAGATTTGAGACAAACACTTTGACTCATGATAGAAGAATTTATATTTGGCCATACAAATGAAATGTTCAGTTTCACAACAGGGGAAAGAAAGGAACCAGTAGATTTGTGCCATCATACCCACATAGAATAGGACACTTAACTGGAAAGCTTCATATTATGATTGTTCATTCACTAGGTAATGTAATTGAATTGACTGCCTGTTGTGCTTCATAAATATACTGTAACTCAGCTTTAAGCCAAAGTAGCCCATCTCCTCTCTCTACAAAAGCTGGTGTGTCAGCCTTAAGGATCAGATAGGATTAAGGCTAAGGACAAAATAGAGCATATTGCATTTATTTAATTGGACACCTTCCAAATTTATCGTGTGAAATCTTGTTTGACCTCCCCACCTCTGGTCAAGAAGGACACTTGCATCGGTCTTTTGTGTATGCAGATCTACACAGGCCCAATTCACCAGTATGTGCATATCTTTCAATGACCTGTGTAAACTTGGCTCCATTGAAAGAAAGGGAAAAAACCCATCAGAATGTAAGAAAGCTCAGCACCTAATATCTGAAATTTCCCAGGTGACATTTTTCTGAGACAATGTCAGAAATTATTCTTTTTTTTTCATGCACCGTTAAAAAATAAGGCCACATTGCATAATTTGCTCCAAATATGGTTTTTTTGTTTGTTTTGTTTTTATGTAGCAGCTGCCATTCTGAACATGTTACCCCCCCCCCATTCCTCAGAATGAAGCTAGGTTTAGGTAAAAGGTAAAGTTAAAAGACCCCTGGATGGTTAAGTACAGCTGAATTCGACCATGGGGTACGGTGCTCATCTCACTTCAGGCCAAGAGAGCCGGCGTTTGTCTGCAGACAGCTTTCTGGGTCATGTGGCCAGCATGGCTAAACCACTTCATGGAAGCCAGAGCACAAGGAAACACCATTTACCTTCCTGCCACAGTGCTACCTATTTATCTATTTGTGCTGGTGTGCTTTCCAACTGCTAGGTTGGCAAGAGCTGGAACAGAGCAACCGGGAGCTCACTCCGTCACGGGGATTCTAACCGCCGACCTTCTGATCAGCAAGCCCAAGAGGCTCAGTGGTTTAGACCACAGCGCCACCCCTTTCTGTTCTGTTTTGTTCTGATGTGTTTTGTGGCAGACCTTTCCTAGATCTAGGACAATGCAAAATGGTGGTGAGGCAGGGAAACACAGTTGTTGCAGTTATCACTTGCATGGCAGGAACATAAAACAGAAGACCTTGCAGTGGGGAGAGAATCTATTGTACCGCCTCTGCTAACTGTGAATCCCAGCTAACTGTGAACTGTCAGGAAATTTCTCTTCCTCCTGGAGAATTCTAGCTGCCCTCACACCAATGCCTTGAACTACAAATAGGATGGATATGTTTAAAAGGTCATGTGTATGTAGCTCTAAAATACAACTCTCATACTTGCACATCACTTAGATGCATGCATAAACTCACCCTTACACTAGAAAGAAAACATGTGCAGCTATGGGGGGGGGGGAATTATAAAAGGGACACAGGTGTCGCTGTGGGTTAAACCACAGAGCCTGGGGCTTGCCGATCAGAAGGTCGGCGGTTTGAATCCCTGTGACGGGGTGAGCTCCCATTGTTCAGTCCTTGCTCCTGCCAACCTAGCAGTTCGAAAGCACGTCAAAGTGGAAGTAGATAAATAGGTACCGCTCCGGCGGGAAGGTAAACGGCGTTTCCATGTGCTGCTCTGGTTTGCCAGAAGAAGCTTAGTCATGCTGGCCACATGACCTGTACGCCGGCTCCCTCGGCCAGTAAAGCGAGATGAGCACTGCAACCACAGAGTCGTCCGTGACTGGACCTAATGGTCAAGGGTCCCTTTACCTTTACCTTTATGGAAAAAATAGAGGCATTCACCTATTCAAGTTTGATACTTAAAATATGCTAAATTTAGGTCCATGGTTCTGAACCCCCCCCCCCAAAAAATGGTTGAGGACCTTAGCAGACCACTTAAATTATTTTTCTGCCTGCTGTAATAATTGTACTGTGCTGTGCTAGATACTGTAATATTGGCATTTGAAATTTTTATATCTTCTTTTATTTTGCATATATTGCATTTTATTTTATTGTAATACAGTAAAATACAATATAAAAAAGAAACAATAAGAATGCAATTAAAAATCGATATAACTATTTAATGCCTCTCCTGTCTTCAACCCCAAACACATAGACGTACCAGCGGACCACCTGAATGAAACTGATGGATGGCTTGTGGTCCATGAACCACAGTTGTATAGTTTTAACAGATTTTTACTTTTTATATTGTATCCATAGCTGTCAACCTTCCCTTTTTTTTGTGGGAAATTCCCTTATTCCAGCGCCATTTCCCGCTGCTTCCCGCTGCTATCCCGGATTGTTGGATATACCGTAGACTGACCCCAGGATAGGTGAGGCTGCTGATCCCTTATTTTCAAATCTGAAAGTTGACAGCTATGGTTGTATGCTTGTGAACCGTTTGTAGATTATTGCATTTAAGAGATAAATGAATTGGTTTTAAATAAATAAATAAATAAATAAATAAACTCTGGCTTGTATTGCTTATGCGAACAATCAGAAACTTTGAAAGAGTTCAAGCTGAACACTCAAAATAAGTACTTTGTCCCAAGAATTTAATTTAAATAGAAATGTAAGAATGGTATTAATCAATCTGTTGTTTCATAACATTGGATTTTTTTTTAAAAAAACAAACATACCCAGTTTCACTGGGATTAGGAAGGTGAAAATACAGGGTTTTTTTGAAGAATCTTTCAAACAAGACTAAAGCAGCCATAGCAACCCGTAAAAAGGGGAAACTGTATATGGAAAAAGGCACAGTTTTGCTTTGAAATGTATCTATTGGTTCTGCTTAAGAGTCCAAACTTCAAAGGGAACCGTCCTGCTTGAATTCCCAAGACCAATTGGTGTTTATTAGAACGATGAGAGCTGCCTATGTGATTCTACAAAGGATGCAATTTCCATAGCAGTCTGTGAAAATGAGCTCGTGGCAAAACTTATTTGGCGTACCTTTCGAGCCCAGGGTCCATGGGGTCGTGAATTGGAATGTGTTTATTGAATCTGAGAGAAAAGCGCCACACTTGAACAGCCTGACCTGAGTATAAGGTGAAAGTTTGCAAATGAGAAAGCAAAATGCCAAACACCCATATTTGGTATAGCATGATTCCGCGAGAGATTGTGACCTTGACTTTTCCCATACTACTGCAAGCTTCTGTTATCTTATGGAATCTCCAATATCTCGGAGTGCATTAGAGGCACGACAATGGAGAGCATCTTTTCTGAGATGAATTCTATTGTTCTTTGGACATTGGAACCTTTGGGTTTTTTATTACCTTTTTTAAGGAGATTTGGAGCTTGCTCATTTGGACAGTATTCTCACATTACCGTATTGGCCCGAATATAAGCCGCACCTGAATATAAGCCATACCTTTAAAATTAGAGGGTGGGGGACGAGAAAAAAATATTAAAAATGCATGAATATAAGCACTGCATCCCTTACAGCTCCTGGCTGCATACTGGGGGGTGCGACAGCTGAACAGGCACAACATTGGGCAAGACGCATCGTTGCTCTGCCTGGGCCACTACTACTACTCGAGTGCTGGCTGCCCGGCACGTTGGCCGCCGCTCACTGCAGGGGTGGGTGGCGCAAGGTGCGGAGAGAGCAGGGACTATCTGGGAGGGATGTCGCCCAGCCTCGGCGGAGAGGATGGGGGACTACGCATGGGGCCGGCGCTGCTTTGCCACACTCCTGGCGCTGTTTGCCCTGCGCTTCTGGCTGCATACTGTAAAGTCACAAATATAAGCCACAGTTTAACTTTTCATGGTTGGAATTTGTGAAAAAAAGTGAGGCTTGTATTCAGGCCAATACAGTACAGTCATACCTCGGGATAAATACGCTTCAGGTTGAGTGCTTTCAGGTTGCACTCCGCTGCGACCTGGAAGTAACGGAGCACATTACTTCCAGGTTTCACCACTAATACATGCACAGATGGTCAAAATGACATCATGTGCATGCGCGGAAGCAGTGAAATGTGACCCGTGCATGCGCAAATGCGCTGTCGCATCTTCCGTTCTCTTTGGGATGTGAACGGGGCTCCGGAACAGATCCTGTTCACATCCCGAGGTACCACTGTATTACAATCAAGCTGGAATATCAATCAGAATCATACAGATAGCTCAGATGGTACAGCACGAGGCCCCTTAATCTCAAGGTCATGGGTCAGAGCCCCACGTTGGGTGAAAGATTCTTACCTTGCAGGGGGTTGGACTAGATGGCACTTGTGGCCCCTTCCAGCTCTGCCATTCTGTGATTCCATTGTCATCCTTTGGCACATACAGAACCTATACTGTGGAACTGCTTCTGTCTCAGGTGCCTGTTTGTCACAGATCACATGGGAACCTAGCTCTAACAACCATTCATTTAACTGAGCCATTCCCCTTTGCTTGCCATTGCCTGTGGCCCTCATCCCAGATCATTGGCCAAGCTGTGGGGGGCTGATGAAAGCTGGGGGGGCCCAACAACATCTCAAGAACCACAGGTTCCCCATCCGAGTTCTAGAAAGAGTCCGGAGAGGCAGAAGGACTGAACTAAGAAGGAACCTAGACAGCACCTTAAAAAGCAGAGACATCACCTTGCCAACAAAGGTCCGTATAGTTAAAGCTATGATTTTCCCAGTAGTGATGTATGGAAGTGAGAGCTGGACCATAAAGAAGGCTGATCGCCGAAGAATTGATGCTTTTGAATTTTGGTGCTGGGGGAGACTCTTGAGAGTCCCATGGACTGCAAGAAGATTAAATCTATCCATTCTGAAGGAAATCAGCCCTGAGTGCTCACTGGAAGGACAGATCCTGAAGCTTTGGCCACCTCATGAGAAGACTCGACTCCTTGGAAAAGACCCTGATGTTGGGAAAGATGGGGGGCACAAGGAAAAGGGGACGACAGAGGATGAGATGGTTGGGCAGTGTTCTCGAAGTTACCAGCATGAGTCTGACCAAACTGCGGGAGGCAGTGGAAGACAGGAGTGCCTGGCGTGCTCTGGTCTATGAGGTCACGAAGAGTCAGACACGACTAAACAACAAAAACAACAATTGTGACTGATTTGCCAAGCATACGAACTGTGGAAAGAGCTCCTCTGATTTATCACATTGCATTTTATGAGGCTTATTTCAGGCTTACCGAGCAAGTTTACCTGTCAGAAAGTATGCCTTCAGTACTAATGTCCTTTAGGATCCCTACAGTGAAGATGAAACACCAGAAGGCAGGAGGTCAAATTTCAAAGTCGGAATGAAGTCAGCTTTTAAAATTCAGGGCATTGGCTACTCAAATAATATGATGGCAGGGCTCAAAATCATATATTAGGTCAAATCAGCATGTTGCATTCCCCAAAAATTTAACTCTGTTTTTAAAAAAATGTGTATGGTTTTGTTCCAAAGCAATTCTCACTTGCCCATTAAGGTCAGCGAAAAATCATTAGAAAAAGAAAAAAGAAAATCTAGAGTTTACCAAAACAACAAGAAAAATCCCTTCTATCTCTGAAATAATCAGCCCATAAACCTCAATATAATGCAATATTGTGCAGAACCAGCTTTTGTTAAGGACAAACACACCATTTTAAACTAATGGGCATAGACTGTTGCAATTTCCCTTAATGATGTGGCACTTTTGGAGGGCGGGGTGAAGAGAGAGAAAAGCCCACTATATATGTAAATTTCTTTATGTCTCGTAAAATAGAAATGTCTCATGTAAACCTCCGCAAAAACCATTGCACAGCACAAATACAGAGGGGTTTGGGGGAAGGGAATTTATGCCAAAATGGTTTGTCTTGATGACATCCATCCATTAGTGGCAGCCCATAAAAGAATCTTATAAACATACTCGGAACTGCTTGGTGATGATTTTTCTTGACAAGCGAACATTATGTGCTGTGAGTAGAAATTGAGTAATATGGGCTGAAAACGCAGGAAGTGACTCCAGTCTTTTTTATGCAAGGTAAATCTCAAGAAAAATGACCCACTTTGGCAGTGCCCAGCAGTTAAGATATCCCCCGAGGAGCCACAAGTGAAGATCTATGCATTCCGCTTATGTTTTCTGTTTTATCGAGATAGATGCTGATCGTCTTCATTTCTATATTAGACGGGTTGCCGTTCGTGCAGCTACTGTTAAAATTGCACCAGCAATTTGGTTGCAAACATATTTTCAAGGAATTTAAACTAATCAATAACAGGGATAGCATTGGCTGAGGGTGGCAGCTTGCCATGCTAAGGTTTAGATGGCAAATTCCCGCCCTGCATCTCTTGTCAGAAAGGAAAGGGGCAATCTCACAGGGTCCTCAACCTGCTAAATTTGCAGCCTGTCATGGTTCCCTCCTTGTCAAAACACACACAAACAGAGAACAGCAGCAGCAGGGACTTCTGGTGGTTCAGCTGAAGCAAGGATGAATAATCTTTCTGGCTCCATGGGTCAGATTCTTAGCAAACTTGGCCTTAGAGTAAAGAGGTAAAGGGACCCCTGACCGTTAGGTCCAGTCGTGGCCAACTCTGCGGTTGCGGCGCTCATCTTGCTTTATTGGCCAAGGGAGCCGGCATACAGTTTCCGGGTCATGTGGCCAGCATGACTAAGCCGCTTCTGGTGAACCAGAGCAGCACACGGAAACACCGTTTACCTTCCCACCGGAGCGGTACCTATTTATCTACTTGCACTTTGACGTGCTTTTGAACTGCTAGGTTGGCAGGAGCCGGGACCGAGCAACGGGTGCTCACCCTGTCATGGGGATTCGAACCGCCAACCTTCTGATCGGCAAGTCCTAGGCTCTGTGGTTTAACCCACAGCGCCACCCGCGTCCCTAAACTTGGCCTTACAGGATTATTATTATTATTATTATTATTATTATTATTATGCATTTTAATCTTTATTATTTTACATATTAAGTCCCTTCACCACAAACAAAACAAAAGAAACAACAGACTGCATCAAATACAAAGAAAATGTAAGTTATAAAATGTTCCCCCCCCCATATGTTAAGACTTCCGTCATCCTCAGTATGGGTCCTACGTTTCCTTGTGGACTGCATATTTATATATCCTTTAACTTCTCATAAATTCATCAGGATCTTTGTCTCATATAACATTGCAGAAATTAATCGAAGCATGTTAGAGATTACACCAGAAGCGGTTTAGTCATGCTGGCCATGTGACCCCCCTGTGGACAAACGCCGGCTCCCTCGGCCTGAAAGCGAGATGAGTGCCACAACCCCATAGTCACCTTTGACTGGACTTAGCTGTCCAGGGTTCCTTTACCTTTACATTGACTAACAGTGGCTCTTTGGATTTTCAGACAGGTGATATCCCTAGCCAGGCACCTTCTGCATGCCAAGCAGGTAATTGATTTCTGAACCATGATCCTTCTCCACCCCAGTCCCTGTGCCACCATGGCTGTCTGAGGCAGTGGCACCTTTGTGAGGTTATGAATTCTTCCACAGTTCTTGGAACCTTGATCATGCCAGGTTCCGGAATCTGGGGAAGCCTCTGCCTGAAGAGGTATAATTCAATAATAACTAAAGATGGAGCATACATTTGAGCATGGGTGGTTCTAGTGAAGCTTGGTTAGTTGCAAAGAAGTTGGTGGGAGAAATAATGATGATGATGATGATGATGATGATGATGATGATGATGATAATAGCAGCTTATTATTTGTACCCCACCCATCTGGCTGGGTTTCCCCAGCCACTCTGAGTGGCTCTCAATAGACTATTAAAAGCATGATAAGTCATCAAACATTAAAAACTTCCCTAAACAGGGCTGCCTTCAGATGCTTTCTAAAAGTCAGATAGTTGTTTATTTCTTTGACATCTGATGGGAGGGTGTTCCACAGGGCGGGCGCCACTACCGAAAAGGCCCTCTGCCTGCTTCCCTGTAACCTCACTTCTCACAATGAGGGAACCGCCAGAAGGCCCTCAGAGCTGGACCTCAGTGTCTGGGCTGAACGATGGGGGTGGAGATGCTCCTTCAGGTAAACTGGGCCAAGGCCGTTTAGGGCTTTAAAGGTCAGCAACAACAGTTTGAATTGTCATCAGAAACATACTGGGAGTCAATGAAGGGCAGGCATGTCCAACAGCTAGATCACAATCTACTGTTAGATCACTGGACGTCTGTTGTAGATTGCGGTAGATCACGTGACGCTCAGTGATCCCCCCCAAAAAAAAACCTTTGCCACCTCTAATAAAAGCTCAACAACTTTGCCTGTCAATAACAATGGGTTGATCACAGCCAGTATTTTTATAATGTGAGTAGATCATAGTCTCTTGGGAGTTGGACGCGCCTGCAATAGGGGGAAGGAACATTTGACCTCTCTATCAAGCCGTCGGGACTCTATCCAGGTTGTGTCCTCCAGACCACATCCTGTTGTCATTTCACCTGTCTGAAATGTGTCCTCAAACCATGATAACACCTCTTACTTACCTGGATAGGAGATAGGGTGTGTCTGGCCACACCCACCATGGTTGTCCATTTAGAAACATGGTCCCTTAGCTGAAAAAGTTCCCCTACCTCTGAGATACTACGCCCAAACAGCGGTGTAGCGTCGGTTGTCAGCACCCGGGGCAAGGCAAGTAATTTGCGCCCCCTAACCCGGTGCAAGGCAAGTAATTTGCGCCCCCTAACCCCTAACCTGCCGCCGCTGCCAGCTTCTTCTTGCTGCTGCCTGGGCTGGTCTGGTGTGGTTCTCTCCCGCGCTCAGCGCTGCGCTGGGCGGCCGCTGCACTGTCCCTCCCCCAGATAGTCCCTCGCTCTCTCTCCGCACCGCACGCCTGGCACCCACCCCTCCACAGTGGGTGGCGACCCAGCGGCTCGGATCGGATTCGCACAGCCAGCACTGCAGTGAGAGAGAGTGAGTGAGCCAGGTAGGGGCAGAGAGCTGCGAGTGCGAGCGCGCCCCCCCCAGATGTTGCGCCCGGTGCGGCTGGCCCCCCCTGCACCCCCCACGCTACGCCACTGCTCCCAAAACAAGTCAATTCAAAACAAGTCTGTAATTAATTTCACACTTGATTTGTCTTTTTCCTAATTATAGTAACTGTTGTGGTTGGAAGTTTCTTGGAAGCGAAGTACGTTTTTCAATACCATTAAAATCCCCTACAAAAGAGGGGTATTTTTCTTTTCTTTTCTTTTCTTTTTAGCAGGAAGGATTTAAGATCAAAGAAAGAAAAATATAACGTCTGGAATTGCAGGTCTAAAAATGCAGTTAGACAGCTATTACATGCTCTGGAATTTTGTTTCAGCAGGGATGTGTGTCAAATTAAAAACAGTTGGCTATTATAATTTAGAAGGATATTATTTCATGCCAATCTCTGGCTTTTGGCAGGGCTGACTCGATTAGATACACCGCCTCTCCATCTTACAGAAATTTGCGGAGAGATGACTTTTAACATTTGCTGCCCTTACCATTCCGAGGTCTACAGACTGGTGATTTTTGTTGTTTGGTATGTTATTTATAATTTACAGGGCTGCAACATTTATTTGATTTAATCCATAAATTAATCAGCATACATTAAAAAAAAAAGTGTGGAACTACTTACATGTATCCATGGCAGCTCTGAACTTTTGTTTGATGAACAGCCGTCTCCCGTACTGCAGGACAAAATGTTTTTGAAAAATGAGTATTTTGAAATGTCAAATGACTTGGGCTAATATAATCTCTTGTCCCCAGTAGTGAAGCTAGGGCCAGGCTGCTTGGCCCACTTCTAAGGGCCTGGAGCCCTGAGGAACCTGTCCCCCCAAATGTATTGTTTTATTTTAACATTTCACAGGGGAGACATTGTTGTCCTGCTGGAGGGAAATGTCACTTTTTCTAACCTTTATTCAGATCATCTTATAAGATGTGTGGGATGTTCTGAAGGCAGCGAACCCAACAACTTCCATAAGGTGTTTCAAATAAAAGGGTACCTTTCTCGTAGCCTGGCAAGAAGCATGGGTGAGTCTTTCTTTCTTTCTTTCTTTCTTTCTTTCTTTCTTTCTTTCTTTCTTGGGGGATGTTATAGGAAAATCCTTGGGCTCACTTGGATTGTCAAACAAAGACACCAGCCAGGAATATAGGAGCAAAACAGCAGCCTGTAGGCCTGATCTTTATTCAAAAGATTGTTGCAACAGAACTTCCACCCATCACATAGGAGAAGCAGGAAGAAACCCCAAACAAGGGGATGCTCCCTCTTTTATAAGTTTACCTTTTCCCCATAAACACCTTTGGTGAAGCATCATGCATACATCATAGGTACATCATGCATATGTCACAAACGGGGAAGGGTTTTCTTGGCAGGTTAGCCCTATCCCTCACTTGCCTTCCACCTCACACCCATCAAGTGATTTGTTGTTTAGTCGTGTCCGACTCTTCGTGACCCCATGGACCACAGCATGCCAGGCACTCCTGTCTTCCACTGCCTCCCACAGCTTGGTCAAACTCATGTTTGTAGCTTCGAGACCACTGTCCAACCATCTCATCCTCTGTCGTCCCCTTCTCCTTGTGCCCTCAATCTTTCCCAACATCAGGGCCTTTTCCAGGGAGTCTTCTCTTATCAATATGCCTGTTGTCTTTGTCCATGGAGTTTTCTTGGTAGGGATACTGGAGTGGCTTGCCAGTTCCTACTCCAGGTGGATCACATTGGTCAAAGCTCTCCACTATTACATGCCCGTCTTGAGTGGCCCTGCATGGCATAGCTCATAGCTTCTCTGAGTTATTCAAGCCCCTTTGCCATGACAAGGCAGTGATCCATGAAGGAGCATCAAGTGATACAAAGGAAATATCTACAAGTTCCTGGGTTTCCTGGTCAGCTAATCACACCGAGAACCTAATCCATTCCTGGATGGTTTGCTTTGTCCATGGGATGACTTCCTGTCTGACACCCAACTTACCAGGATGCCAGTGATTATCTCTTGTGCAAGAGGCTGCTGAGTACATGACCCCAGGTTTCAGGGATTATGGTTGTCTTTACCCATTTCCCAAGTCCCCCCTTCAGGAGCCATTTGTTCCCTGAGTAAAATGAAGTTGGAATGGTGTTGATCCGATGTAGGGCTGATTTTATATGAATGTTTGAAGGTTTTGCTGCATAAAGGAAGGTGAATACTATGCAACCTTGAACAAAACTGTGGTGGGTTTTTATGGGGATATTTACAAAATTGAATGGTGTCGGTTTGGGGGATGGTCTGGGGGTGCTGTGTCCCATTTAACTGGAAACAACTCACCCTCCCCAAAAAAACTTTATAAAAAATCCAGTAACGGGGGGGGGGGGGGAGAGAAAAGGGAAGAAAACTTAACAGCCACACCTTGTAGAATTCATTCACTAACTTGCACCCTGGAAAGAAATGTCGTGGGGTGTGTGAGAGCAATTAGGGCATGAAGGAAGGAAAGAATATTGTTGCAATGGTTTTTTTGGAGGGGGACAGGTGCCCAGGACGCTCTCAAACCTAGCAGCATTACTACTTGGCTTCAAAAAGACTGTTACAAAACAGGGATGAAAGGTATAAAAATGTTTGCAGCCTGCAGCTTAGGGGAGATGTGCATATAGGTGAAACATTTTGGGAAACCTTCTGGTAAATGATATATAATGAATTAAAAAAAAATGTTTAAAATAACTTTTGTAAAAAAACAAAAACAAAAACAAAAACAAAAACAAAACAGAAGCCTTTCTATTAGGAATTATAGGTACCAACATTCCAAAGGAACAGAAAAGACTCTTTATGTATGTGACAACAGCAGCACGGATGCTACTAGCCTAGAGATGGAAAGAAGAAAGAATCCCTACCAGAGTAGAATGGCAAGCCAAGCTGTTAGACTATGCCGAAATGGCAAAACTGACTGGGAAACTCAGATACTAAGAAGACAAGAAATTCAGGAAAGAAAGGGGAAAGTTTATAATTTATTTAGGAGACCACTGTAAACAGATGAAAACATTAGCAGAATTTTAATCCCACTTGTAATGTAACAAATACTATGGACAAAATATGGATAGCTACAAAACATAGACTATGAAATACTGTGCAGTTGGAAATGTTGACAATAGGACCCATGGAGGGGATGGAAGGAAGTCTCGAGACTCAGAGAAAATTCATTTTATGGATATGTATTTGGTATTGTAACTAATTTACATTGGTAAAATCAAATAAAAATGATTTTTTAAAAAAAAATAAATTTGAAAATGAATCCAGTATCTCTTTCTTTCTTTCTTTCTTTCTTTCTTTCTTTCTTTCTTTTTTTCCTTCTTTCATCATTTTTATTTGATTTAGATGCAGTTAAAAAAGGAAGATAAATTTTGGAAGCTAAGGGAAGGATGGGAAGTCTGGGGGTTCAGGGAACCCCATAAAGGTTCTGATATGGACCATGGTTTGATGTAAACATGGGGGGGAATTGTTTTTTCTTTTTGAAACTTTGAAAATAAAAATGGAAAGAAAATGAGTCCAGTAAATCTTAATGACTAACACATTGTGGCAAAAGCAGTCATATACTATGGCCCACTTTAACAAGAAACACTGTCCTCAGATGTGTAAAGATATATATATATATATATATATATAGATATATATAGATAGATAGATATAGATATAGATATATATATATATATATATATATATATTAAGGGTAAACAATGAGGCCCAAAGACCAGGAAATCCAAAACTTCCATCATGGGACATTTCCATCCAAAGCTGAAATGGTGATCAGGCCCAGATCAAGGAGGAGTGCAAATGAGGGCATGTGCCCCAGGTGGCAGGTTGGAGGGCAAGCAGCATGCTATGCGTTTAGTATAATGAGAGATGAACCCTTGTTCTTAGCTGAGTCCCAAACAAACAGAATCAAATTTACCGGAGTCTCTTTTTTAAGGTTTCCTCCCACCCTTGGGAAATTATGTCTTCTCAAGTCAGAAGATGAGTGCCCCGAGACTAACATTCTCTCCCACTCGTTTCTGAATGTTCTTAATTTTTATGTCAAGTTGTGTCTATTTGATTAGTGAACACGGACAGGAAAAGGGCACTGTTGACATATGATGGTAGATATTGCAAGGAGTCCCCGATGGTGTGACTGATGAACACCTACAGAAATTTTGCTTGAGCGAATACTGGAGCAGGATATTGGTCACTGTTGAACTGAGAAGAGTGCTCATAAGTGTTACCATTGCTGTGCATGGTGTTTTGAAGTAAGTAGGGATACTTGAGTTGCTCAATCTTTGTGAATATTCATACCATCTGATCTGAACCACAACTGCTGTGGATGTTAAGACTTGGTTGTTCATTGGCTTTCGTGAGCCCAGGCGCAGACCCCTCGTCCCCGGCAGCCAGGCCCACATAAATAAGACACAACACAGCATAGTTATGGGGTTTAAATAGACCACAACTTTATTAATTTCAGATGTAGGAAACCTTGGCTTAGGCACTGGGCATGTATCCCTCTCAGCCCCCGATTGGGGTCTGTGGCTAAGCAGTGGCAGACAGGAATTATGGGGGACACTGCAAAACATGTGCTTACATAGCTGGCACCCCACTCCTCCAGTTCTGGGAGTTTGACCATACACTGAGTGTTCTTGGTCAGTGACTTCCAACATAAACCCCTCTAACGGCCCCCTGCTAATGTTGCAGTGCGAGGGGTGTGTTGCGCGTTGAGGTCCCCAAGACACCCCCCCAAAGAAAAACACAATTGACACTTAATTTTTGTTTAAGGTTTTTGGCATAATTTTGGCAACAACTTTATTCAAATTACAGCAATGTGAGTGGTTGCTTAGGCATTGGTAGCACTAACTGACCCCGCATGGGGACAGCTCTGACATTTGCACCCCCTGTGAAGTCAGAAAGGGTAAGTCACCTGGGGAGAGAGAGACGGGACTGGGAATCATGCCTCACCTCTCCCCAGAATGCTCCCAGGGGCTTGCGTGGCTCTAGCTCCTTGCCAGGGGGTTTCGGACAAAAGCATGGGGAGCCCCTGGGTTCCTTTAACAGAAAACCCTTGAAGCAGCAGCAGCAGCATTTTGGAGGGGCAGGCACAGCCAAATCCATACCCCTCCACCAACCAATTCCCAGACCAATGCCTAACTGCAAACCTTACAAGTTGTGACGATTTGCTACGCAATAGGCAAAAACCAAATGGCATAAACTAATCAGCCAAATGGACAAAATTCCTACCATGTCCCTGCCCCAAAGCAGACAACCCCATGACAGGCATAGCAAGGTCAAGCAAACAGCCTAAAATTAGGGAAGGGAGGGCGGGTGATCCTTAGCACGCAGCGAAAAGAGGAAGTCTGTTGCTGTGTGCATTGTATTTAACAAATAGGGCTGTCAATGAACAAATGGCAACATTTAGATTTCCCCAGTAACAGCCCGCCCCTGCTTAAAGGATGGCCAAACCATTTGCCTAGCAACAGTGAAGTGTCTTGTCAGCCCCGCCCACAACCCGTGCTCTCCATGAGGGAGAACACACTTTACCACGCTGCCCTTCAATTCTGTTGATGGACTAAAGGATTCTGCCCAAGGCCTAAAACCGCCAAAGTTGTGACGATTGCTATGGGGAAGACAAACCTGCAAAGCAGGCTCTGGAAAACAGCAACCATCGTGCGACCGTAGCAACGCCCACAAACCTGAAAAGGAAAAGGTTAGTCTGCAACAACCTTACAATTAGAGGGAAGGTTGGGTGGGTGACACTCCGAGTTGACAGAATGGCCTGTGTTGGTGGGAGCCCCCTGACCTGGCCTTTGCTCCACCCCCTAGGCTGCTGCTGATTGGCTGGTTTGGACCAGGGCCAGACAGAAGCCCTGCAGCCTTGGCGGCCAACCTAGGGGATGGAGCAATGGCCAGGCAGCTATGGCATGACTCTGGAGGCCAGGAAGTGGTCATTGTGCTTTCTGGATGTTCTGACACACTTCTTGGCTCAAAAAGGCTTTCCCAACAGGTTTGAAAATAAATATTTTGAGAGAAAAACTTTGAATAATATATA